GGGTCTGTGGCTAGGTGTTGCCAGGGTTTTTCACTCACTCTTTCTTGTCCTCTCCCTTTCCCTCCCCTCTCCCTCTTCCTCTTCCTCTTTGAAACAGGGTCTTGTATGTGCTTGGGCTTTCTTGGAATCCTCTATGAAGGTCAGGCTGCTTTCAAAATTGCACTTCTCCTGTTTCAGTTACCAGTGTGCTGATAACAGGGGTAGGTACCATCATGCCTGAACGTAGTATTTTCCTTATTAGTTATCCTAGTCCATCAGATAGCCCAGGTTCTCTGTCAGTTTCCAAGGAAAACTAATCTACTAGCAAATGCATGTTTTAATTATGGTCCCTCTCTCCTTTGTGTGGGGTGGTGTGTGTATGTGTGTGTCTGTGTGTGTGTGTGTACGTGTGTGCACGTGGCATGCACGCATGCTCCAGTTCTGGGGCTTGAATTCAGGGCCTAGGTGCAGTTTCTGAGCTCAAGGCTAGTTCTCTATCACTTAAGCCACACCTCTGAGATAAGAGTCTCCTGGACATTGTTGCTCTGAATAGCTTTGAACTTTGATCCTCAGAGCTCAGCCTTCTGAGTAGCTAGTCTTACACAAGTGAGCCATTGACATCCAGCAGTGGTCCCTTCTTTGATAACATTTTGATGAATATTATTCATTTTTCCTGAGCATTGCTTACACCCAGAAAAGACTGATTGATTTGGCCAATTTTCTGAAAAGATGGCCATGAACAAGTTCCTCACCCAACTAACTCTGTGCATGCCATCCTCAATGGCTAGAACTTATTTTGCCTCCCTTTGGAATCTAGGTTGACTTTATGATTTGCTTTCACCAATAGAATGGAATGAGTGATGCTTTATCATGCCCAGACTTGCTCTTACTTGAAAGGTACTGTGGAGATTATTTCTTCTGTCCTTGAAAGCCAGCCAGCTTATAATGGCAAAATCTGCCATGCCGTAGGAAAGCCTGCTAAGGGAAACATTTTAGGTAGAGCTTAGCAGTAGAGCTAAGGGTGTGGAGTACCTGAGGGGATTCAAGAGGGAAAGGAAGGAGGTAAATAGAGAGTGGAAAAGATCAGAAATCCAGACTCTGGCTGCACCTGCTGGGCCAGGTTGAATGGCTGAGAATGAAGTAAAGAGATTTTTGCATTGGTGGTTTCAATTGGCCTAGGGGGCTTGTTGACTTGCTCTGAGTCTGGCACTTAGCAAGGTTGTAGTTGCCAGTGTTGGCTGATAAGGGGACTAGCAGAGCCACATCAGTAATTGCCTCTGACAGTCTCAGACCTTGGATTCCTTTAACAAAACACTTCCGAAGCACTGGCTCTCGAAGTTGGCTCCTGAACACACACTGCCTTCCAAAAGTCCTATTTTGATGGTTGCCTTGAACGTTGTTAGTGATTCAACTGAGTCCTTCCTCTATCCCCCATATGAATATGTTTCAGAGCAAACCTCTAGTGACTCAGAAGGTAGCTTTATTTGGAAAGATGGTCATTATAGATATACTTACTGAAAATGAAGTCATCATGGAGTACACCAGATTCTAATCCAATATGACTGATGTCAGTATAAAATGGGGAAATTTGGACACAAACATGGTCATACAGAAAACAGCATATGAAGATGGAGGTGATGTGGGAGCCAGGAAATGGCAAAGATTACCAGAAAACACCCAAAGCTGTCTCCAGGAAGAAATGGGCTTCTAGACTTAACAACTGTGAGACAATACATTTGTTTTATTTTGGTTTTTGTGCCAGTGCGGGAACTTGAACGCAGGCTGTTCTTGAGCTTTCTTAAGGCTAGTGCTCTACCACTTGAGCCACAGCTGTACTTCTACTTTTTGGTGGTTAATTGAGGTAAGAGTCACAGACTTTCCTGCCTGGGCTAGCTTCACACCAATATCCTCAGATCTCAGCTTCTTGAGTAGCTAGGATTATAGGTATGAGCCACCTGTACCTTGCTAATATAATTCATCATATTCAGTGTCACCCCTTCTGTTATTCCTAGCCATCGCCCCCAACCTTACCCGTCTCCTCAACTTACCTGGTTCCATTTTCATAAATGTACATTGAATATTGTGATTATATTCTCTTTCTGTCTCCATTTGTCTGCCTGAGGAAGATCCCTTTGAAATCATACCAGATGGCTTGTTTCATCTACCATCTTTGAGACTCTACTACTCATGAATATGTTGTCTTTTATCCCAAAGTTTGTAGGAAATTAACAGTTCCTTGATTTCCTCTAGAAACTTGTTTGTATTAGGATTGGCACATTTTTATTCCAATATGATCATTTGCATGATTTTTAGGATCATAATAGTGGAGAGCTCATATTAAAATCTTAAAAGTGGCACATCTCATTTAGAAATGTTTAGTACTTTTTAATAATACTGATATTGGCTGCATTATGCGATAATAATGAAAATCACATTTGCAAAGTAGTAAATGGTAATGGGGCATTCTGAAATGCAAGAAACAGAAAATGTACCAAAAGAGAGGGAAACATGTTTTATTCACAGCTTTCTGGGTGTCCATGTTCTTGGGTCACAACATAAGGAAGAGATTAACTATAGTGTAACTAGGTGTCATAGTACCCCTAGGGTGAATGATTTTGATCAACCTATACAATTCTAGTCAAAGAAGGAGATTTTTTTTTTTCAGTCATCCAAATCTAAGAGGATGGAGGTGTAATATTTAAAATAGTTTTTCTTTTAGACTATATTTGAATTATGTATATTAAAACTGGATCTCTATACCTTAGAGGTATACCTTAGAGTATACAACTCCAGGGCCTATCTCAAAAACAAGCTATGTCTATGGTGGCTCATACCTATAGTCTCAACTACTAGGCAAGTGGAGATAGGAGGATTGTAGTCTGAGGTTGATTCAGGCAAAAGTAGAAAACTAAAGCAAGGGCAGGAGATATGGCCCAGATGAAAGAGAAGAGTGTCTGACTGTAAACCTCAGTACTACAAACAAAACAGATTTCTAAAGCAAGCCAACTGTATTTACTATAATTTAACTTAATAATTTTGTTCTCTTCTGTTTATAATTTGATTGATAATTTACCTAAAGTCTATTTGGAAACAATAGAGTATGACTCCTCCATCTTACCAGTGCAGTTTTAAATCAATTTTAAGCTAACTAAATTTACCTTTGTGTTTTCCTTCATCTCTCCTACCCTCTTGCTATCCTCTTTTTTTTTTTTTCCTTTTTCTTTTTGTTGCTGGGGATTAAACTCAGGGCCTCACACTTGCTAAGCAAATGTCTACCACTGAGCTACATCCTCAACTCTACCCTGCCCCTTTAGTATTTTGCCTCAGGACCCTCACATGCAAGCCCACAGAAAACTGGTGGATGTTGATCTGTAAGGAACCTAAGAAATCCCTGGCTGCGTGACTTAATCCAACAAATGCTGGTGTATGTGAATCAGAACATTTTGTGAAATTTTTAGTATTTCTTTTGGCAGTTTAATTGCTCTCAATTCAGGAGCACTCTGCTTAAAACCACTAAGATTAAACAAAGCCAGGTAAGTTCCTGGGCAGTAGGGATCTACTCACAGAAAAATAGATCAAAAGATGGATGGATGGATGGATGGATGGATGGATAGATAGATAGATAGATAGATAGATATCCCCAGGGAACATGCCTTTGCTGTTATTTTCATAGAGAATGTTATGAAAATGGAAGAGAAAGGAAAAGGACTAGATTGAACTTGATTCTCAATAGGCTTGGACTGTTTATTGAAGAGTAGGAAGGGGCACAGACCTTCCTGCATGTATGGAGGCTGTGCAGGGGAGGTGGGGTTGGAGTAGGGCTTTTATGGGGTCTGAGCAAGGAGGCAGAGGTTAAGAAAAGCCATTAGGTCTAGGGCTGTGGGGACCTACAGTGGAATGTTTACAGCCCGGCTTAGATAGATTGCCCTGCCTGTGTCAAGCAGTCTGTGTATATCTGGTGGCTTGCCTGACGTCTGTATGCACCTGAGATAATGGGGGGTGGGGGGGTCAATCCTTCAGTGAATGGTTTTTCCTTTCACCTTTTCTCTTCTCTTTGATTTTTGGAATCATTGGCCCACAAGCTGGTTCACAGACATCTAGCTTTTTCTAAAATTTCTCAGTGAGTTGGGAATGCTATCTTCACTCTTCTCAGACCAGAAGGTACCATTTAATGCAAGAAGGTGAAACTGTCCCATCTTCCACACGGTCTCAGGGCATTATGTAAAGCCCATTCTCTTGAATCAATTACATGCAAATTCTGTGTACTTGCTCCATCCTACTGAGGTCACACAAGTGACCTTGGAGCTTCACATTTCAGCCTCATAGGAGAATGTTACCAGATATGCACCAAGAAAAGAGGCTGAGCTGGATTAGTCTTGGTGGCTACCCATTCTCTAAACCAGCAAAGACATTGTCATTTCCATGAGGCAAGATATTAGTGACTTTGGCAGCTTCTCGAAGGGCAAAAGTCTTGAGGTCACTTCACAGGGATGTAACCTTTGAAATAAGGAGACTGATTTCATTGTTTTCTGGGATTGAAAGTTTTGTGATTATAATTCCTTATGCAAAGCCATCAAAAAGGTGCTGACTCTCAGAGCTTGATTGGTTGCAAAACATTAATTTCCCATTCCTATCTTCTTCCTTGCGGTAGCCCTCATTCTGTCATGGCTTAGTTGGGTTCGTTGGAGTAGCACCCAGGTTGTAGGGAAAGGCTGATACATGTGTTCTGGCCTCTCGGGTAGAAAGCAAGATGTTCCCCAGGGCAGAAAGCAAGATGTCTGCTATGATTTCTACCTGGTATCTCATCATTTCTGAATTATTAACATGTGGTTTGAAAATGAGGTTGGAAATTCACAACTTAGACATATCATTCATGTTCATTCTATGAGAAGAGGACTTCCAAATCTAAAATTCTAAAACCTCTGCTGCCTTGGGATATAGCTATGAGGTTTATGATATGAAAAAGGTATATTTAAGCGATTTATTGAACCTGTGAATCTAATTTCATTGCTTTGTTACAGATTGATGTTCTCAAGGCAGATCTGGAAAGTGCAGAATGGAAAGTGTTGGAGAATCTTATTTTGGAAGATGTCCTTGATCAGATTGGACAGCTCATCTTTGAGATCCACCTCCACTGGCCTGGCTTTGAGGTCAGCGGCAATGACAGCAGTGTGGTGCGGTTCTGGTACAGCCTCTTCAAAGAGTTAGAGTGGAAGGATTTCAGGCTTTTTCACAGTTATAAAGATTTGTCTAAACCACAGCTCTTCTTGAAGAAAGACATTTTCAATGCTAGTAGCTGTTACACTCTAAGCTGGGTGAACACGAGATGGAAATAGAAGCAGGACCTCATCAAGGACATGTTTGCAGAGGGATCTTTCCATTCTCCTGGCTACAAGTTCACTCCTCCCTCTAGCTAGCTGTCTAATCCTTGCTCAAGCAGGGATTGTGGTGTTGTCTTTACAGTGCATATAGCCTGGTGCTCAATGTGTGAGAGGTGTTTAGTTAATACTGGTGGAAGGGACAAACATGGATACCCCCATTTATCCAGACTTGGTTCTGTTGTCTTTGATAGAATGTGGGGGATGTATATAATTTTTCCTTATAAACCCATTATGTCTCTATAGTCTGTGAATTCACCAATGCTGAAATTATATAAATAATCCACTTTTACTAGTTTGATGAGATTCTTAAGTTCATTGTTCACTGTTCAAAATTGGGGCTTTCATTTGACTTTAGCTCACTTCTTTCCAGATTTTGCTCGTTCATCTTAGAAATATGCTTTTCAACCTTGTGAATTTCAGTCAGTCCTTCTCAGTCCTTGCTGACACCACACTGTGGCTTCATAAAAACTATTGCTTCTGGTTTCTGGAAACTCAGATCCCATATTCTGTCCTGAACTTAAAAGGGACTATGAAGAGCTTCAAGATTCTTTCTGTACCCAGCTTTAAATCCCTTTCATTTCCAGTGAAACTAAGCACAAAGCAGGATCTGAGAGTCATCACTTTCGCATTCCCTCTGCTTCAGCCTCAGCAGAACATGTAGGTTGTCAAGAATCAAATTATTTCTATCAGTTCTGTTTACAGAAATTCAAATTCTCTATTTTGAATAAGCAAATCAAAACCTGATTTTCGCCACACTTCATCCCTGCTCCCAGATTTTTCTTTGTAGAAACACTTGCCTAAACATTTTTCTCAGATGTTCCTGGTTGCCTTTTTGTTTTTGTATAGCTTAACAATGATCACTTCTCATGTGAGAAATGAACACATACTAGGATACATAGGATAATTTCACTAACTTGAGTCCAACATTTCTGATAGGGTTTTTAAAAATGTTTTAAGAACTCACTGCACTAATGAAAGCTGTTGAACTGAAAACAGGTTGGATAGCTGGGCACTGGTAGCTCATGCCTGTAATCCTAGCTACTAGGAGGCTGAGAGCTGAGTGAGGATCATGTTTCAAAGCCAGCTAGGGCAGGAAAGTCCATGAGCCTCTTATCTCCCAATTATCATAGTATACACATGTGTGTGTGCACACACACAGACACATAGACACAAAGTTAGAAGTGGAGCTATGGTTCAAGTAGTAGAGTATCAATCTTGAGTGAAAAAAGCTAAGGGTCAACACCCAGGTCCTGAGTCCAAGCCCCTGTAACAGCACAACAACACCACCACCAACAACACAGCAGCAGCAGCAACAATAACAAAACCCAAAAAGCAAAAGAAAAGGAAGGAAAATAGTGGCTCAGTAAAGTATCTCAGTTAAGCATTTTAAACACTATGAGTTTGCATGGAAAAGTTAACTTCAGTCTAGTTTTGTTTATATTATATTGCAGATATTTTTCATAAAAATTTATACACTGAAATATATACATAGTAAATATTTTATGCTAAGGTATAAGATGTGTCGACTTTTAAATGTCCAGTCTGATGAACTTTTATATACAGGTATACATAGAATTAAAGATTTGATTAGTGAAAGCTATTTTGTATAAGGCAAGTTAACCATTTATGTTAGATTGGTGGTGCAGAACATTGACTTCATCACACACACTATATATATCACACACACTATGTGCTGTTAAAAAGAAATTCAAACACACCCACTCGTATCCACCTACTATGCAGCCTATTCAATGGTTATTCCTACTTAATGTTTGAAAGTTCTGATGGTTGCTATGGTTTCCTGTTTCTAGAAATATGCTCATCACAATCAAGTTAAGATTTCTTAAACTTAGCACTATTACCATTTGGGGTTGGGTAATTCTTTGACAGGGGCGTGAGAGATGTTCTGGGCAAGTAGGGAAGCTTAGCAACAGTCTTGGCTTCTGACCCCTAGATAGTCCTCTAAGTTGTGACAGATATGTCTGTAGACAGTGCCAAGTGTCTCCTAAGGGATGAAGTCCTGTGAGAAGTACTGGTATAAGTTGGCATAAAAGGGGACAGATTATGACCAACCTACTGAACTGGTGATTGCTTGCAGAGAACAGGAAACAATACAAGATCTTGTGAGAAGACAAAACATCCATCACCAAGAGACTGACCACAAAAGCAATACAAAATACAGCAAGCAAACAAAGTCAAGAATTACTAGTACTTCGAACTCACCATGTGCCAGCCACTTTGCATGGATTATTCCTAATGCTCTCAACAATTTAACAGGAGTCATTTTCCTGATGTTTAAGTAAAGAAACGCTGAGAGATTACACAGTTTCTCGATTACTACGAACAGGAATTTATACTTCAGTCAGATGCCCAAAAGGCCATGCATGGTCCCCACCCCAGCACAGCCTCCATTGGTAGCCATCACCAAATTAATACCGCTTGGCAGAAAGACACTCTTTTATTTCCCTATGAATATAAGGCAAAAAGTTACAAATACATTTAACTCAGATTGTAAGTCTGTTAGAATAGGGGTAATTCTGTGGTACATGGGTTTGCTTCACTCAAACCATCTATTTAATTAAAAGTAGCTTATTGAAGAAACACAAGGACCCCATGTCTGCCAGAAAGGGTCTTGGAGGGCCTGGGAGGAATACTTGCTCTGCCAAGTACCAAGTCCCAACACTTGGCATTTTTTACTTGGGCTTTAGAAAGGCCACAATCACTTGGCATTTTTAAATGACTGTTCTTTGCTTAAAATGTCTTTTAGCCTGAAGATAAATGAGATAGATGTGAATATCTTGACATAAATCTGCTTAATTAGCCACAACAAGGGTAGTGTTTCATAAAAATACAAATTTAATAATGCTCTTATCAAATGATTAAAAAGACTTGCGCTTCTTCAGGTGAATGGATACATGAGGATGTGATTTGGAAGCTGCCTTTCAGAACGAACTGTGCCACACACTGAGGTGAAAGTCAAAGATAAACTAATTCTCCCTTGCCTCTTTTTCTAGCATGGTTATGTTTGATGTCATTGTACTAAGTTGTCATGTACGTATTTATAGTTATTTGACATTTTCACATGAAGAGAGCCAGGGAAAAGTGAACAACTTTTTATAAGAACTGACTGTAAGTCTAGTAATATTTACAACAGGGTAGAAAACCAGTAAATCCATGAATTTACAGGGCTCAGTTCAATATGTTACTGGACTATCTGTCAGCATTTCTGCCTTGTTAGCTTTTAGTAAATAGTCCAAAATTTGAATTTCTTAGTATTAAATGTTTGGGTTTTGCCAAGTGTGGATTAAGTCAGGAAGCCAAGCTCAGCATAAAAGGAAGGCCTCACTTAAACAGATGATCTGTACTTGACAATATGATACCTCCAAGCTGAATTAGTCATTATTGTTTGTGCTGGCTATACATTTGTTGGCTCTTTTCTTTTTAACAACAACAACAAAAAAATGGATTGAACCCAAGGCCTGGTGTGTATTAGATAAAACTTCTACTACTGACCTACATCTCTAACCCTTTTATGTTTATTTTGTACGTAAAAAAATGGCCTAACTTTGGAGATTGTTAAACTTTAAAAATAATATTACACTTAAGATCTTTAGAAAATCAAGTGGGCTTGATTTTCTTGGTGCTTCTCAATGTATTAAAATGTTTTCGAAAGCCGATGACTTCATCTACTTTTCACACAAAATAACTTTATTTTTGTAATTTGTATACTAAAATTGGAATGAAGTATTTTTCTGGCCAAGTTTGAATTTTAGTTTGGATTATTTCAGTAGAGAAGCCGAGTATGCCCAGTACTGACCCCCATTGCTGTGTATCAGCTACAGATACATATTGTGTATCAGCTGTTGTTCAGAATAGTGGTTATAATAAATAGCAATATGTTGTAGACTTAAAGACTGCCAAAAGAGTAGATTTTAAATGTTCTCACAAAAGTATGTAGAATGGATGCAAATTAGCTTGATCTAATCATTCCAGTGTTTACATTTACAAAAATGTCTTGTATAATTCACAATGAACACTTCAAGAACACTTTATATAAAAAATGCTTTATTTAAAAATAGGATCTTTTCAAAAACAGAGAAAACTTTTATATACAGCTACTTAGCTTAGAAAGTCAAAAACACAAAAAAATAAATCCAGATTTAGAAATTATGATTTGTAACATACACAATATTGGTGCTGAACAACAGTTTAAATCCCATCACATTTCAATAGTCCACATTTATTAAAACCAGTGCTTGGGACTAAAGAAATGTTTTATCTGAATTCCTTCCTCTTACATTCCACCCTTCCCAAAAGATACAGAAATGGCAGCAGCTAGGCAGTATGATTGTGTGCCTATGATTCAATATGCCTATGCACTTTTATGCTCTTTTCCTATTTTCTTCTTTGAAATTCATTCATACGTGACAAAAAGCCTAGTCCTCTTTGCCAGGCGTTCTTAAATTTAAAAACAGAAGCTCTCTAAGGGCAAGAAACCTGTGCTGCAAGGATAGTAGCACACGCCTCAGAGGTGATGTTCTTAAATTATCAACACTCAACATGATTTTGCTCTCTAAGACAGCACTTGGAACAGCTATCAGCCAATTTTTGTCATACGGTCCTTCTGAAATATTTCAAGCCATTTAAACAACGAACATAGATTTGTAAAGCAGGAGAAATAACTTGTCAGACTAAAGTGCTATTAGTGACTATACTCAAGAGGCTGTTGAGATTTCATAATCTAAAACTTTTTAACTATACTGTCATTATTATTACTATTTTTTTTAAAGCACAGTCATTGCTTCTCAGACTGGGGAACTCTAGATATCTTCCTGTAGTGTCATTTTTCTCCCCCTAAATACTTGGAGAGAGGTTTCATTTTTATATAATCCTAAAAAGTTCTGTTTTTTTGGATCCACAAGCAAAATGAGAATGCTAAAATGTCTTTCTACTCTGCCTCCTATGAGGAGATTTCAGGAGTAACATTTGTGTATGACACACCAGCCGTGATTTCTGAGGGTGTGGCCACATCCACACTGACAGTGAACATCAATTCAGAACAGTGGCTCATTCTCTCGAATTCCAGCTTCAGAAATAATGTAATTCTTTGCTTCCTGTGCACACTGATGAGGAAGTATCTGATTTTTAATTTTACATTGTTTAATAATTTCAGGGATGTTGCAATCAAAGACTGATTTACAACTAAAAATATAGAACGTATGTAAAAACACCGTGAAATTCATGAAGCCAAAGATTAGAACTTGTTCCACTGAAAGTACTGGGAACAGTAATTGGAAGAGATTGTATTCTTTGAGTATATATTAAATTACACTATCCCTGTTCTCTATCACTCTTTTAGTTGAACTGGTAAATACATGTTATCTTTCTTAGTCATTCACTACATTATTTTCTCTGGATCCCAAACCCAAGAAGGGGTTCTTTCTTGACACCAAAGAGATCCTTTCAGTAATGACATATGGGGATAAATACAAACTGCCCAGCAACAAGAATGGCTTGTCAAATAGAAAGTCAATGGTCATTCTTTGTTTAAATAACACCTATAAAGAACAAAATGAAGTTACCAATGAAATTATATGAGGCAAATTTACAAACTTTTTTTTGAACAATGGTTCAATTTCATAAGGCCATACAAGGAAAACATTATCTATAAATCAAGTTGTCAACTAACATTTAATAATTAAATATAGTTAAATATGACTTTGGATCAAAAAATGATCCTAGGTAGTTGAAGGGCTATTCCCATTAATCCCACAGTTTGATGAGACCATCCCACCCGCATGTGATGACCTTGGAAGTTTCATGTGGATGCCACACTGCACCTATGCACACCTTATCATGAGCTTTAAACCGACTGTACAGTTTTGTGGTTTTCCAGTCCCAGATATTTAATTTTCCATTTCCGTCTCCTGAAATCACATAGCTGCAACAGAAGAAAAATAAATTCACATTATTCAAACATTTTAAAGGGCTAAATTGGGTCAATAACCAAAATGTGTCTTTTTACTTTCATTAAAACAAATTAATGAAAATATACAACACTCAGAATCATAAGATAGGCTATAATTTGAATTTCTACCCAAACTACCACCCAATTGAGCTAGCAATCTAAGAATAGGAAATTATTATTATTATTATTATTATTGTTTTGGCAGTACTAGGGTTTGAACTAAGGTCCTCATGCTTGTTCTGCTACTTGAGCTCCATTCTTTTGTTTTTAGTTTAGTTTTTTTTTTTAAGAAAATAAGGTTTTGTACTATTGGGTCAGCTGTCTTTGAACTGTGTTCCTCCTACCTATGCCTTTGGAGTAACTAAGATTACAGGCATGAATTACTATATGTGGTCCTAGAAAATTTTATTAATTTTTCTGGAACCAAGTTTGAACTCAGGACCTGTGCTTTCTCTTCCTTAGCATTTTTGCTGATAGCTGGTGTTCTATCAGTTGAGAAACAGCTCTACTTCCAGCTTTTTGGTGGTTAATTGGAGATAAGAATCTGGAGAATTTGTCTGCCTGGGCTGACTACAAACAGAGATTCTCATATCTCAGCCTTCTGAGTAACCCAGAATATAGGAGTGAGTTAAGAGAATTATTTGTAATTAGACAAACTAGGAGTCATAGAGGGCCATAATGAATCACAATCAGTGTGTAAACAGTCTGAAATAACATACAATCAGTTTCAAAAACATCCAGTGAACATATCAGATATACAGTACCATGTGAACTTTATTACCTTCTTAATTATATTTTTACTTCATTGTTCTATGAATATACCCAAAACTGAATCAAAGGTAAGCATAAGTACTAATCATCATGCTAAACACACAAGGATTTCTAAATTTCTTTTACCTATTTATTTTGGCTAGGAATGGGGAAATGAATGAGTAATTTCACTCTTAGTAAGACTGTAGGCTTCACAATTAGTGTGACCTAGAAATATCAAAAGCTGGATTTCAATTTTCAGCACTGATAAATTTGCTAAAGTTACTTTCATCTGAGTTATAGAATCAATCATTTTGGTGTTATTCGGTCTATAGCTTTGCTTAGAGTAAAAAGAAAAATAAGCTGGTTGCCAGTGGCTCACATCTTTAACATTAGCTACTGAGAAGGCTAAGATCAAAGGAACAAGGTTGGAAGCTACCTGAAGCCCCCTCCCCCTCCTAAATTAGAGAGACTCTATCTCCAATTAACCAGTAAAATGCTGGACTGGAGTTTGGCTCAAGTTGTAGAACTCTAGCAGTGAGCAAGCAAGCCATGTGAGATCTTGAGGCTCTGAGTTCAAGCCATAGTAAGAGCACAAAAAGAGAGAGAGAAAGGGAGGGAGAGAGGGTGAGAAAGCATTGGTGACGTAGCTAGCCAGAGATTTACTGGGTGGTTAAAAGGCACACAGGCCTACGTAATATGAGGAGATATACTGAGGGGCCTAAAGAAAAGCAAAATATAATTTTGTAACTTGTTCTTGCCTTTATTTTGACAGATTACCTATTTCTCAAACAAATAAATACATGTGAAAGTGACTTGTAAAGTATTGTTATTTATACAAGAGCTTGTATCATATCATCATATTTGAATATGAGAATAGATGATTTAAACTTACCTCATATCTGGTGAAAAGTCTACCTGACAAGCATAGCCTGCAACCATATGGCCCTTAAAAATTTTTTTCTTATTTAACCTGAATCTGTTCTGTGCTCCAAAAATTAAGATCTGGTTGTCCATTGATTGGCATGCTAACCATTTTCCTGTAAAATTCAAGAAATAAGATATTTTAGAGGAAGAATAAAAAATTAAGCAATATTGTAAAGATGTCCACTGCCATTTTTTTGCTCCTAATTATTTTATAATAGAAAATAAAGCTGGTGCCAGCTGTAAATTGTTATAAAATAAATTATTGGCAGGCAAAAGGTATTTTTATCTGAAGTAATAGATCCTGTACCTATAATCCTATTACTACTGACTACTGCTCATATAAAAGCTTTTTTACAAAATAGTAAATACAGTAACTCTAAGGAGCTAAATAAAATATTTGAGTGGAATTAATTTATAATATGTATAGAAAATAGAACTTTGAGGAAAAAATCAACTTCCCTATCTGTGGCTAACTATGAGGGAAAGATTAATTCTGGTGAGAAAAATCCACGATTATCACCAAAGGACACATTTGATTAACAAAACTATACTGTTTTTAAAAGGTACATAGCTTTCATGTACCCAAGCATCATAAAGCTTTTAGACCTTAAAGTACAGTATTTACTTGCATCCTGTATTCTTGGGAAGGTCCTAACACTGCCTGAGTGAGCAAATGATCTTATTCAAGATGGGCATAGGATGTGAAATAGTTTGGTTTTAAAAACAAGTTACATGGAATGTAGCTGCCTCAAAGTATCAAAGTAGGATCCAGACAGGCTGCTCTTGTCCTAAGAATGACAGGACAATTGAAAACTGACACCGATCTGCCTGTGCAGATGTCCAGATGGAGGAGCAAATTCTTTGCCTCCTAATCCTTGTTCTACACTTACAGTAGTTATATGAGTTAGCTTCAAAGACAATGGTCCCTAAATCTCAGGTTTTCTGCTCAATACCCTCATGTAAAGCTATAATATGGATATAATGCCATTGTGTGTGCAGCATGAAGTATCTTGTTCTTAAAAGGCAATGAACTATTGAATGAAAAACAGTATAAAATATTTATCTTTTTTTCTTTTGCTTGAGAAAATCTTTTTTAGTGAATTGCTCAGGCATTCTCATTGAGAATATGACTGAACTTCCTATCCCTTTCAAAGAGAAGAGCTTACTGAATGATTTATTGAATTTGATCCTGTTGGAAGAATTACTAGAGAAAAAAGGAAGGATTACCAAAAATCCTTAGATGCTCAGTAAATATTAGTTGTAAGTCATTGTTTCTTTTATTTTCACTTTTCAAAATGAGGTAAGGTGACTCACATAAAAAAACAAATTCTAATTTTGAAAAGGTGTCCTGATACTAATATGGCACTGTGACAAAGTTACCCTGGGAGGTAGTGGCCAACATTCTTATGACACTTAGCAATACACTGTGTAGTGGAAGCTCAGTTAATAGGAGCACATTCTATGCACAACTCACCATTTGGAGACAAAGTCACTGCAGGCATGGAATGCATGCTAGGTTCTGCTATGTATTTGAAATCCACAGGGATATCCCTAAAAAAAAAAATTAAAAACAGTATATCAGGGCAAGTAATTTATAAAAATAACTTTAGAAGAATTATCTTCAAAACAAAAGAACAGCATCTAAGAAAAAGCCAATTCTTGAAATTACATGTTTACTAAAACTTTTCATTAAACTTCTTGGATAAAGGAAAATCACAAAATAACACTGCAGTGCTTTTTAAAGCTTTTGCTTTATAAATGGCTTCCTATGAAAAGTGTAAGAGTGCCAGAGATTTTTATTTTCTAAAAGTTAGATTTACGCTTTGGCCTTTTAGGTTAAAATTTTTGTTGCTAAATGTTCTTTAATAATGAATTCATCTTAAAATGTACCACAGTAGCAGAGGCAAGATGTATGAGCAAGTCTATAGGGAATGTTACTTCACCCGCCAGCCAACTTCAACTCATCACCCTGCCTGCAGCTTCTGGTGTGCTAATGCCCTTGGCAATGTAAATGGACGACAGGCAGCACTGTGGGCACCTGAGAGCTGGTTTAACCTCTCTAGAAATAATAACCAGGGCCACGAAGATTAAGTGCTTGGTACCTAGACTATTTACTTCTACATGTAAAGCATGTAGAAAGTTTATGGTACAGGGGGGAAAAAACACTAAAATAAAAAAAAAGTGAGTGATATAAAGGATAAAAATAGGGGCTGGGAAGGTGGCTCAGTGGTAGAGCGCTTGCCTTGCATTCCTGAGGCCCTGGGTTCGATTCCTCAGCACCACATAAGCAAAAAGAAAAAAGCCGGAAGTGGCACTGTGGCTCAAGTGGTAGAGTGCTAGTTTTGAGCTGAAGAGCTGAGGGACAGTGCCCAGGCCCAGAATTCAGGCCCCACGACCAGGACCCACCCCCTCCCCCCCAAAAAAGAATAAAAACAAAATGCAAAAAGAGGCCACTGGCTCATGCCTGTAATCCTAGCTACTTAGGAGGTTGAGATCGGAGGATCATGGTTTGAAGCCAGCCTATGCTGAAAGGCCCCGTGAGATTCTTATCTCCAATTAACCACCAGAAAACTGAAAGTGGTGCTGTTGCTCAAAGTAGCAGAGCTCTAGTCTTGAGTGAAAGAGGTCAGAGACAGTGCCAGGGCCTAGTTTCAAGCCCCAGGAGAAAAGAAAAAGAAAATGCAAAAAGGGTCATCTAAATTTAGAACTATCAAAAGTTCTACGCATCTTTTCATTTTTACTATTCTCCACAATAAAAAGAATTATGTAATTTTGAAAGGAGTTGATATTGCTGATTCTCATGAACTAAAAACAGTTTTTACAGTAATGTGTGCAAAATGGAAGTTGATGACTGGGATATCAAGCAGCAATTTCAGTTTCAAGGTAGGGCTCATGTTTCAATACTTTTATTAAAAAACAATGAATATTTGGCTCCATGTTAGAATATTCTCCATCTATTTACTATGCCACCTAGGAAAAGGAGATGAAAAAGCTCTCAGGTATAACAAGGAAGGTGTAACTTTTGTCAAATCTCCAACCCTGTACCACTCTAAGCCATGGTAAACATGGACCTAAAAGAAATTCATGTTTTTGTCCTCATATTTATTGTTAGTTGCTAACAATTTAAAACAGATTGAAGCAAGAACATTTTCTAGGTTTATAATAGTGTTTTCCTAACCATAAACAAAAAAATCAAATGGATCATTATTTCAACGAATCTTAAATTGAACTGAATCTGAACTACCATGAACTTCATTACTTTTAGTAAAAATGTCTGCTAGTCATAGTTAAATTTAATAACCACAACACTATTTTCTAATTATACTGTAATTCAGTATAATAAACTAGGGATTCATCTTCAAATAATCTGTTTGGAAGTGAATTCATAAAAAATGAACAAGGGTCTATGAAATTGTTAAAATAAAAATGTAATATTTATCAAACTTTAAAATTTTCTATTAAAATATATTACCAAATAAACATTTTTGGGAATAGACATGTCTATGACATTTCATGTAGTTAGCTATTGAATACATAACTCCTAATTCTCCTTCAGAACTAAGTTGCAGCCTTTTGTTGGCACAGTATTGCTTAACAAGGCCCAGTTTCCTCTTGCTTGTGTTCTTGTATCATTGTGCTGCTCAAAGCAGGTACAGGAGACACAGGTCTTGTAAACATGGTTTGGGTACAGGCTCCAGTGCTGCCTTCCTTGCTGCTGAGGTAAGCTCTCACTTTGAGAAGGTTAAGGCCTCCATTCATCTCTGCAAGCTGCCAGATGATGGGTACCACTAGTCATACTCTTAGGGGTATCTGTGAGAGCTCTGAGGATCCCAGCTGTTTTTGTTTCTTATTTGCTTTTGAAGCAAGAGTGAGCTTCACATTTATTGCTCTCTCACTAACTGAACTAAATTCAACATTCTTCTTCACCAGCAGTCCCTTCATGTATCTACCTAGCCATAAAATCATAAACTCCAAGTTTTTGGAATCAGTATGACCAAGTTTGAATTCTGACCCATTCACAAGTCCTATTTAATAACCTTAGGCAAATCACTTAACTTATTTTAGTAACTTATATAGAAAATGGAAATAATAAACATACCTATCTTGTAAGACTGCTTTGCATATTAAATCAAGAGCTCAGGGAAAAAAAACACTTATCATAATGACTGCTATATAGAAAAAATTTCATAAATGCAATGTCATTAATGACTACAAGAATCGTACTTAATGGTTAAATGAAAATCTAAAGGAGGTTCATAATTTCTAACAAAACAGTACCATGTCTCTATAAGAGTATTTCCTAAGATCAGAGGTGAAAAAAAAGCTAACATTATATCAAATTGATTTAAGCAAAGCAAACTCTGCTGTCCAAAGTTCTAAAGTAGAAGAGAGATATTAAGCCTTGTAACTGGTATAACACTTAAATATTTGCCAATTTCTTTTATACCATTCTACATTTAAAAATGGATCTTAAAATAGAAATGTTTAATGTAATTGAACTATAATTACCTCAAAAACAAAAGAATACTGTGCACATGAACTAAAATGGTTTATATAAAACCTGGTGTTCATATCAGATACTTGGTAAGAAGCACCATTTCTGTAGTAAAGAAGATCTTAGCTATAAGGCATCTCAAACCATGGACCGACCTTAAGGATAACACTGTACGTTAAGATTACATATACAGCATGGGCAACTAGTTGGATATAACCAGAAGGGGTATAATGGTGGTAGTGTGGGAGAAATTTCAGTTAAATTATATTACAGTTTTAATTCTCCAAATTGTCCTGACAATAGTTAGGGCCCAATCACTGCAAAAGAACTCAGTCTTAGGAGGAACTGGCCAATTATCCTCAAGACTGCCTACTCTCCTTAAAGAATCATAACTTCTGGGAGAAGGAAGATACACTTTCTAGTTCTTGCAAAGTCGTAGCCACTTCTTAAGCTATGCTTCATAACTATGAAAACAAGTTGAGCTCCATCCAAACACTGATTTTAACAAAAAGTTTATCATGTATTTGTTTGCAACAAAATCATAAAACATGACCTATCATACTAAAGGAAACTAGCTTTGCTATTTCTTGACTTTAGGAAAATTGTTTTCTTCTCTAGGAAAGCAAAATAAACCACCATATTCTGATTATATTCAACAAGCAAATATTTGTACAAAGGTGATGACAGGGAGTAACTTGTACAATAAATAGCTATTATTACTACAAGAAAAGCAATTTAAAATACATGTCCTCTGGAAAAAAGATCCAAAGGCTGTGAAGAGTAGGAAGCTTAGATTTTAATTTCCAAACTGAGGACATTAAACAATGTATTGTACACATGTTCTAAAATAGTTTACATAAAATTTGGTGCCCAGGTTATATTTGAAGAAGGATCCTTGTTGTAAGAATCACAGATGTGAAAATATTCAAATGGCTGCACATTATTGGTCTTGTCTTTGTCTAACAAATTTTAAATACCTTGCTGTGTATAAGTCAGATTTTCTACTGATGAAAACTTACCACTCCCAAACTCTAAGGCTCTTATCATCAGATGTGCTCACAAATCTCCTATTCTCGTCCACAAAAACAATGGTGTTGACAGCACCCAAATGCCGATCATATTCCTGGACAATTTCTCCACTTCTAATGTCCCACTGTACAAGCACGAACAATAAAGTTAAAGACAGAAGTGGAGTGACAAATCAACAATGACATAATTTTCTCAGATTGAGAGGGAAAAATAAGTCATACTTCTATGCATTAACTGCTTTCTCCCAAGTACCAAGCATCAATAAAAAGTAGCAAACATTTCCAATACACTTAAAGCTCAGGAATTTAACTAAAAATAATTCAGAAAGACTTACTTGTACAATCTTTTTATCAGACATCCCAGCCACAAAGAGATTTTGCTTATCTTCATCAGGATTGAATTTGACACAATAGGGCACTTTTCGGTTTGTAAACCTTGATATACATTGTCCTAAAAACAAAGACTCAAATTAAGTAAGGAAAATAAATCAGACCATGAAAAGAGGACAGTAGCATTAAGATCTAGTGGTCATTTGTTTAATATATTTGCTTGTATTTTACTGTTCCTTTCCACAAATTTTTAATGGTTAAAATATTTTTTTTAAATGTTATTTTATTGTTAAGATGTACATTTATGGCTCACACCTAGCTACTCAAGAGGCTGACCATTTGAGGATTGTGATTCAAAGTTGGCCACACACACACACACACACACACACACACACACACACACACACACACACACACACACACACACACACACACACACACACACACACACACACACACACACACACACACACACACACACACACACAGGGAAGCTGTGGTTCACCTGGAATAGCCTTAGCTTTAGCTACTCAAGAGGCTGACCATTTGAGGATTGTGATTCAAGGATTGTGATTCAAAGTTGGCCACACACACACACACACGCACGCACGCACGCACGCATACACACACACACACACACACCACAAAGGGAAGCTGTGGTTCAACTGGAATAGCGTTAGCTTTGAGCAACAAAGCTCAGTGTCAGTATATAGGAACTCAGTTCTGGGCCTAGCGCATGCACACACACACACACACACACAAAATCATTTTTTCAAAAGTAAATTTATACTATCAATTGTTGAATAGATATGTTATGGTTTCATTCATACAGTGGAATATTTTGAGCAATTAAAAAAACAAATGATTGGTATAAGTCACACAAGTGAATCTTAGATATTATGTAGAATGAAAAAAGCTTAAGATAAAAAAAAGGGAAATATGCTATGATTCCATCTATCAGAGGCTTCAGAACAGGCAAAATGCATCTGTGATGAGGGAGTAGTTACTGTGGTTACCAGGAGTGGGTGCAAAAGAAAATTAGAAAAGGCATAAAAAGCCTGAGTGAGTGCTGGAAGTGTTCCATATTTAGATCTTGGTGGTAGTTAAAGCAAGCTCATAGATATGGTTGCCATTAAAAAAAAAATCACTGTAATGTGTATGAATTTTACATACTTTATATTGTAGCTTGATTTTTTTTTTTTTTTTTTGGTTGGTTGAGGGTCTTGAACTCAGGGCTTGGACTCTGTCCCTGAGCCTCTTTATCCTCAAGGCTAGCACTCTACCACTTGAGCCATAGTATCACTTCTGGTTTTTAAGTGGTTAACTGGAGATAAGAATCTCACAGGGACTTTTCTGCCTGGGCTGGCTTCAAACCACTATTCTCAGATCTCAGGCTCCTGAGTAGGTAGGATTACAGGTGTGAGCCACCGTACCCCACACTGCAGCTTGATTTTTAAAAGAGCTGTAGAAAGGTTAGCCTTTGCCATGGCTACATGGCAGAATCACCTAGTCCACAGCCTGGTCCAATCATATAAGGACCTCTGAGGTTACATCTAGTCACTGGTAACTTTAAAGGTTTTTAGCTGACTATACTGTATAAGCTAGACTTGAGAACTGTTGATAAAGAGGGAGGAATACGGATTTGGCATCAGAGGGCCCTAGGTTAAAGCCCAACTTCCCTAGCCACTTACCAAATATGTGGCTCTGGGAACTTACCTTAAGCCTCAGTTTCCATAACTATATTGTAATATTAGTATGTATTTAAGAAATTGTACTAAGATTGAATGACATAGTACATATAAATGCTTAGCATAATGTCTAATAAATATATTATCTCATTCAAATTGAAGATTTTTTTCTTTTGTTTTGTTTAGTTATATTAGACACATATTGGCATGTGGCCTAGGCTGTTCTAAATTTGCGTTCTTCCTGTCTCAGTCTCTTGAGTGCTAGGATAGCAGGAATTTTCTAATATGCAGTTATGGGTATGCACACATAAAACTGGTCCCTGTGAGTTTACACCTATATTATCAATTTGAGCAATTAAATTTAATCCTGCTCTTCAGACATTTATTGTTTCTATTAAGTGTAATGGACCATGCTAAGTGACATAGGGAAACAAAGAAATCAATCAGAAGATGGTCTATAGGATATTTTAAACTTGTTGTGCATCAATGTTTGCTTTGCAAATTATATGGGGGTGGAAATAAGACCTACTTAAACAGCTGAGTTTCAACTCCATACACATATTAGAGATACCAGCTGAAAGTCAGTGGTGTGAGAAGATACCATTTAGTCACCGAAGACCACTTTTCCTGTCTCATGTATAAACACTAATGTAGAAATTAGAGATGCACTAGAGCAGTGTACTCTTACCTGTCTCTGTGTCCCAGAGTTTAAGATATCTGTCATAGGCTGCACTAAGAAACTGTGTTCCTGCAGTGTTGAAGCAGATGTCTCTAACAGCTTTGCTGTGACCTAAAGGCAGAGACAACAGCAATGGCAGTGAGATAAAGTATTGCACCTTCATAGAAACCATAAAAGAGAAACAACATTAAACAGTAGTTCCAAGGAAAGCCATGACTCACCATCACTAAAACCCCACCTCCTGATTTATTGACAGTCTGTTATTAGATAGATGGGGCTGTGGCTGTTTTTCTTCCTTTGAGAAGCTCCATGGATGATTTTGATAAATACCACTTTGGTAGGAACCAAGAAAACATTTTTTTTTCTTTTTTTAAAATCCTTGTCATGGCAATCTCTTAAAAACAGTATAGGCAACTGATGACTAACTAGCAAATACTTTTTGTGGAGATATAATAGACCAATTTTGACATTTTGAAAGTTAATTGTGATTGCACCTGGCTAGAAGTAAAAACAGAAACCTAGATCTAAGGTCCAGGAAAATGTAGGCTGAAGTCAATAATTGCCTATTTCTGTGATCACATTACTTAAGTTCATAGAAAGTGATGTAATATTTAAGACAGTAAGCATTTTGGAAAACATTGAATCCTATTTTGTTATACAATAGTATTGTGACCCTAAATTAACTTTAAGGTGCTGATTATGCTTTACTTGGAAATCAATCTTGTCTGTCCAATAACTCTAGAAAGTTTTAGGGACAAACACAACATGGCTAAACAAAAGCAGAAACTGCTATTTCTCACTACCTCTCCCATGACCAAACATGAGACAAGCATGCAAAATGAGTATGGAACAAATTGTCAACTCTGTCCCACCCTGCATGGAACTCCAGTCAGAAGTATGTGCCATGACCATTAAGCATCCTTTTCTCCAGCAGGAGTCCCACTCATAGCTACTATCATCTCCTAAACTAGGAGAATTTCCATTTTCCATTGAAAATGATCTGCTGGAACAGGGAGGCAGGTGGGAATCAGGCTCATGACATCTGACAGACATCTCATTCCCCACCGAATAGCCTTGCTATAGAGTATATGGCATCTTGGACTATATTTATTTGCATGAAGAGCCTAAAATGTTAGCAAAGCACAGCAGGACAGAGTCCCACTTTAATCTCAACATAGCCACTATAATCCAGTGTTTCAATGTGGTATAGTTAAATTTGGAATGAGTAACTTCACAACAAACCTTTTTCTACCAGAAAAAATTTAGTTTGTTGCACGGCTATTTTCCCTTTGGCCCTGTTCTTTTCTTTAAGGAGTCTTCTCAGTCTCATCCCTTTTTCGTTAGCTGCCAACTCCCAACCTTGCTTCAAAGCTTGATATTGTTTACTGAACAATGGCAATTGTTTACTGAACAATTTTACATCATCATCTCATAGCAGTTGAGATCCAGTGAGTCTAAAACCTCACCATTTTCCCACGTGGCCTTCTCAGTGAATAGCACTACCATTCACCCAGCCAAGCCACCTGAGGATTACCCTAGATTCCTGCCTCTCATTACTCACATGCTTCCTTCTCTATCTCTGTTGGTTTGGTTTAGATTCTTACCTTGTAAGAGTCCATACCAATGAAATAATTAATTCATTTTCTTCAAGTTTATTCTATTAAAGCACCTTCCAGGTTTTTCTATTTAAGCTTCCCATCATGCTACTTTCCTGAAAGAGCTGTGTAATAACTCCTCACTGCCATGAGGTAGAGTCTAACCCTTTATTAGTGGCACGAAGGGTTCTTTACACTCTTGCTTCTCTCTTGCTGTTTCTCCACTTTTGCCTGGAATACGTGTCCTGGCAGTTCTGCCTCAAAGGAGATTCTCCAAAACCAGCACGATTTCTCATACCACTTTTGCTTCCACTGTTCTCACTACCTGGGGAGATTTACTCCTTTTAGACTAAGCTTAAGACTATGAGCACTTTCCTTACCAGGGAAGTAAAATTATGATAGACGATTTTATCTTACATGAAAAAAACCTTCCCTAAATAGAGTTAGAGATAGGAAAGAATTACCAATAAATGTTCGCAGACAGCGCCGGTCTCCATAAACTTCCCATAGCTGGAGAAAAAAAAAAAATCACATGTAACTATTATGTGTGTGTGTGTGGGGGGCGTTATTCATGCTAAGCTATACCCCCAGCCCCAGAGTTACTAAATTTAATAAGTATGTAATCAATAACAATAGTTGTATGCTTGCTATGTGTTTGTATCTGTGTATATACATGGGATTTAATTATTAAATATTGCTGACAGTGTCAGTTTATGTGATATTATTTGGAACACATATACTAGTTTAAAAAATATTTATATCAAAATATCAAGAGAATTTAACTACTGATCAAGTTTATTCAGGTGGTTCTGCCATGTATTTAACATTTTGATACTGATTTTTTAAAAATACTTTTCTGAAGTAACAAGTATAACAGAAATTATATGAAAGTAATAATTTCTACTAAAATAATAATCTCATAATCCCATAGTTAAGCTAAACTGCAGAATGAGCTTTTTTCCCTAGATTTTCTCAAATCTAATCCTTGACAATATTGCCAGTGTTCTAAAATTGAAACTATTCCTGGCCCCTTACTGCCAACTGGATCAAATCCTGGATCCCATAGCAGGCCAGGCAAGGTTTTCTGGGACCAGGCGCCTTGCCTATGGCTGCAATCATTCTTTGTTCCTTCGATTTTATGCTCTGGCAACCACAAAACTGTTATAGGTTTTAGCATACATCATGCTGATTCATTATGCTCACTATTCTCAAACATACAATACTCTTCCCTGTTTGCTTAGCCTTCCTGCCGAGGCATCCTTCCTCTTTGAAACCAGAATATCTACCTGTACCTCGGGCCTGTCAGTATAATCACTACTTATGCCAGAATAAAATGATCATCTAACAGATTGGGACAGTGACTTCATAATTTCTATCCTCAGCCCCTGTGCACTATAGGCACTTAATAAATACTTCTAGAAGTGAATGAAATAGAACTCTACACTTTTTTAGTTGGTCAGAGAGATTGTAATTTTAACATCATATATATAAAATACAAATGAAAGAAAATAAGAAATTTTACTATAAAATGAGTCAATTAGAGATTGAGATAAAATGTTTCTGTTAGTGAAAAATGTCTAAATGGTTGTTGTCATCAAAAGAAACTGCCTTTATATATTGCTAATATTCATCAATTATTTAGGAAGGCTAAGACTTTAACGATCAAAACTTACAAGCCACGAGCACATTGTAGGGTTGGTATTTATTGAACCACCATAATGATCTAGATGCAAAGAATACACAAAAAGATATGAACTATCCTTTCAGATTTGTATTTTTTTTCAGGGCTTCAAGTTGATATGATTGCCAACTAAATTTTTTCTACCATATATTCTATAGCTGAACAGAAGGTAAAACCATAGCTTCATTGATTACTGAAATGGGAAAAGAGGCCAGGAACAGTCACACTGCTTGGTGCTTGTAGTGTTCAGAAGAGAAAGGATGAACTACACTGCCTACGTGCTAAAAACTGGGGTCTCTACCATGTGTCCTATCTACCTCAGACAGTTCTAAACAGTGAAGAACTCAGTTACATATCTAAAACCTCTATAAAAAATGCATTATTAGTGATTAAATATTTATGTGCCCAATGCCAAAGTGATTGGATTACATTCTAATCAGTTGTCTAAGCTTTAAAAACAGTCTAGCCAAATGGACCACACAACCACATTTGAATCTACAAGGTTGGAAGTTGTTCATGAATAGCTGTATTCAGAGGGCCTAAGAGAAAATAATTAGCCTCTAATTACCTAACAACCTCAAATTTATTTATAATTAACTGAACAGATTTAACCAAAGTACTAGCGCTACAGCACTCCCATTCTGTTACTGCCAACTCACCTTAATTTTACAGTCCATGGAACAAGACAGCAATAAATGGCCAGAGAGAGGAAACAATCTGACTGCACTGACTCCCTGTAAAAAAGTACAATTATCACCCAGAAACATTTAAAATATTGACTAGAACTGAAAATAAGGAAGACAGAAAATTTTAAGCAACCTAATTTACTATTTTCTTCACACCAAGCATTATGTCCTAGAATAGCCTTCATTAGTATTCCAACAGCAGGCTTTATTGACATTAAGCTTTTGAAGGTTTTTTTTTAACTTTTAATTTTGACTTCCTCATCCAGAGGAATCCTGAGTTGATCAAATTGTTAATACTTCACGTTTCTCCCTTCTTTTCCATAATTTCTTTGCTCTCCGTAAAGAGCTGAAAATTAACAACTGGAATTGTGTGGAGGAAAAAGAATATTAACATTTCAAATTTTCATGTGTCTTATTTCTGCATTAGCTGAAATATCTCTTCAGATTGTGGAAAGAGGTATCTAATCTCCAGCCTTCCTTTGGCTTCTTGAGGAGACTTGACACTGACTTGATGCCCCACTGTGGCAGAGACTTGTGGGAAAAGGGTAGGCTACAATAAGGGCAGAACATGGAAGTGTGAATGCTTATGTTCTGGTCAATCATATGGCTTTTGAAGACTGATTAAGGCGCCGAGTGACAGAAGCCCAGAACGAAATGCCGGTGGCCCTGTGTCCCTATGGGCAGTTACTGCCCAGCTGCTTCTATCATGTGAAGATGGGATTTGTGATGGGTTGCACTTGGGCATAGTGGCCGGAGCGTTCTTTGGCACCTTTTCCTGTCTCAGGATTGGAATGAGGGACTGGGAGGTGATAAGTGGCATTGGGAAAACCATGATGCAGAGTGGCAGCACTTTTGGCACATTCATGGCTATCAGAATGGGCATACGATGCTAACCAGGGCAATAGATACCTGCTACATCTATACCTCCTCATCCCTCACAGCTCTTGTACTATAATAAAACGAAGTTTTTGCTTCTCGAAAAAAACCAAATCAAAACAAAACTGATCAACTAATCAGTGACTGTTATGGGTAGGTATCTCCAAAGCCTAACTCAAGTTTATCTTTAATATGATGACTTTCCTTTTCTATCTTAACTTTCCTGTCTTTACCAAAAATACTTTACCACACTCATACTGAAACATTACATTGGCTCCACTATTATAACCTTATAGTAAATGGAAACATCCAACTTGCTTACCTTTGTGTGTCCAGACCACACATGAATTTGTTTTTTGGGAAGGTAACACTTTTCAGGTGGTACAGATGACCTCAGGTTAACACCAACATCTTGAGGTATGTGAAGGTAGGACCTGCCTTGATAGTCATACATTTCTTTAACTGAAACAAAAAGGTAAAGAAAGAAATGTAAGCCACAGTTAGGAAATCTGCATTCTTAAAATGATAACAAATTTTCCAATCATAGAGCAAGTGTCCTTATTAAAATAGACTATGTTACAACACTCTGATGATGTCAAGATCATGAGTTAGCTGAAATTTAGTGGCCAAATCCTTGCTATCATTTAACAAGTAGCATTTTGAATTCCAAAATACCAGACAGTATTAGATTTTCAAATATGATCTCTATTTTTCTCTCACAATTTTCACACACAATTACACGTCAGTGATATAGAATAAAGAATTCACTGCAGTATAATTACTTGTTGAGTCACTGGTAGAGAATCAGAAGCAGAACAGAATAAGAAGGATAACAAAATATATCTTCTTTTCTCTGGCTTTCTGCTTTTATGCTCTTCTGGTTCCTTTTCATTGGTCTTCTTCCATTCTTACCATAAACCTTACAGTCAGTCATATGGGTATCTTGGGTTGCAGGGTGAATACAGCATAGTAGCATGTCTGGCAAGGTGGGTATGCAAGCCATGTGGCTATTATTGCTGTCATGAATGGAAGCACCAGTCATAATAATAATAATAATAATAAAAAACAGAGTCCTTGACATAAAACTGGAGCTTGTGAAGCCATATCTTTGATGTGACAAAACATTAGAGTAAGCAAAGTTCTGTCAAATTATTCTTTACAGTTTTAGGTAGTCCTTATGTATCTCCTAAATGTAACTCTCCTTCCTTTCTTCCCTTTTCTGGGGGGAAAGGTAGCCAGTACTGGGGCTAGAATTGAGGGCCTGGGTGCCATCCTTAGCTCTTTTGCTCAAGGCCACTGCTTTAACACTTGAACCACAGCTATATTTCAAGTTCTTTGGTGAATAACTGGAGGCAAGAATCTCATTTTTCTGTCTGGGCTGGCTTCAAATTGCTAAGCTTATAGGTATGAGGCATCAGCACCCAGCCTAAATGTAATTCTTAATGAATGGGTACATTCTAGAACATCTGTAATTTATTTTGGTGAATATATACCTGTTCCAAAAGTCAAAGTAAGTATGAGAATCTGGGTGTGGTGGTACATGCCTGTCATCCTAGTTATGTGGAAAGTATAAATAGGAAGAAAGGCTGGCTTGGGGCATGACTCAAGTGTAGAGTACCTGCCTAGTAAGTTCTAGGCTCTGAGATCAAATCCTACTACTGGAAAAAAAAATCACTAACTCTACAAAATTTTTTTTGTGGCTATCACTAATCATGTTACTTTTTGTTCTTTATTAGTATAAAGAAGAGTCTGCTGCTATGCTGTGTTTGGGCTGTGAAGTATTAAACATACTTATTCTTTTCTAAATTTTTATTTTTTTGTTATTATAAAGGTGATGTATAGAGGAGTTATGGTTACATAAGTCAGGTAATGAGTACAATTCTTTTGGGACAGTGTCACATCTTCCCTTCCTCCATAATTATTCTTAATATCCTTATAGAAGATGACACTGTATTTTATGATCAGAGAATGAAAAATATGAATGTTTTTCATAAAAGTGCAGAAACACAAAAAATATTTCAATCTTACCATGTAGGATTGTTTTCTCCTCCCCAGGTTTCTCATCTTCCTGTTTGCCTTTTTTCTGCCTCTTTGCTGTAATTTCATCCAATTCTTTTTGTTCTTCCTAAGAAAATGGAGGTATGAACTTTAAAATTAAAGTCTGAGAACCCTCTCATGTTCAAGGCTGATAATAAATTCTTTATAATGAGGTCTACATTTCTGTGAAACAATGGCTACAAGTGTGTCTTTTGAGATAACAACCTTAGCTCTCCCAGCCCTAGATTGATTACCTCTCTCATAGATTCCAAAGTGCCATTACACACCTGAGATACTGCATAATATTTTAAATTGATTTTTATATAAAGTTCATACATGTGTGATGTTAGTTGTGCAAGTGAAAAGACAAGGCAATCAGAAAGGCTGGTTCCAAAAAGGAACTGAATTTTAGTACACGATGTTGTTTTTTAGCAAACAGCTTTTACTGAGTCATGAAGATATAAATGACAATCATGGAGTATGACCAAAGTTTCTGGGAAGAACTGGGGAGGGAAGATGGGAGGAGTAGTGAATCTATATTCATAATAACAAGAAATAGTGGCATGTGCACATAACTAGCTACTAGAAATATAAGGAGAAGTTAGAACACATGCATCTATCTCATGAGGACAGGCTTTTCTTAATCTTGTCCACTCAGGACCTAGAGTATGGCTGACTCTTGAAGCAGTGGTTATATAGGGAGCAGGAGAAAAGGAAAGATGAAGTCTTCTTCTTTTACTTTATAAACTTCACAGTTGTTTTTTGAAAAAAAACATAAAGTTGGAAATTTATGAATAAAATAAGTAAACTCAGAAAAGCTGATTCTGTAATTACCGCCTGAATGAAGTAAAAACAACAGCTAGTATGGTAGCTTAAGAGCATTATTAATTTTTATTATAAAATATTCAAGATTCTAAGTTAATTTTTGAAAGTACAGAAAACAAAGCACAGAAAGAGCAAATAAAAATAATGCAATGAAAACCAATATTTTATTGTATTTTCTCAGTCAACTAGAACAGAGAAATTTTGATGAGTCACTTGGTTCCCTAAGCAAATCTCAAGTTTATTAGTATAGATATGCTTCATAGAGACACAGTGTACACCTGAACTGCAAACGAAAAACATCAAAGCTTACTTCTGAAGGTTTAGCTACATCTTTTTCATCCACATATTTTGCCCATGGTCCCAAGAAACCATCAATATTAGATGCATCATTTTCTTTGAACTTTTTCCTCTTTTCTGTTTTCTTCTGGCCAGTTTCAAAGACAGTTAAACCTGTATTAGCAATAACAAAGCGGAAATATAAAAATGTGTAGTTTCTTTAGAAATAGCAGCACATATATAAAGAAAGGTAACTGTGGAAGTGCTCAAACTCTAAACCAAAGAAAATATGTATGAAATCTGCCACATATACCAACTCATGCTAAAACAGAAAGGGATTCAACCTCCTGGCTGGGGGAGTGGGAGGGAAATCTTTCTTTACTACACTGTTTTGAAAAGTTTGTGTAAACTGTGTAAAGAAATGAAGAAAGATGATGATTTTGAGATTTTTTTACTTGATTACTAAGAAGTGGAATACTATTGATAGATATTCAGACTGCAAGAAGAAAGGGTTACAGGTGTCATGGTCAAAAGTTAACTAAATGTGGTTTAACTTAAAGGAAAAAAAAGAATGAAATCAGTTTCCTTTAGGCTGTTGTGTTAGAACAAAAGCATGCTAAAATTCCTCAACAATAGTCAAACTCATACACAGAAGAGAACTCAATCACACAGGGTGGTCCCTGAGCAACTAGCATGTTCTTTGTTTAGTGGCTTTTATATGTAGGATTCTAATGTTCTCATGAGTTTTGCTAGCACTGAGTATTACGTTTTGTCTTCTTGTATAATAAGTACAAAATAAACATGAGCAAAAATATACTTAAAAAATCTTCAGATTGGGGCTGGGAATGTGGCTTCATGATAGAATGCTTGCCTAGCATGCATGAAGCCCTGGGTTCGATTCCTCAGTACCACATACATTTAAAAAAAAAAAAAAAAGGCCAGAAATGGGGCTGTGGCTCCAGTGGTAAAGTGTTAGCCTTGAGCAAACGAAGCTCAGGGACACAGCCCCTGAATTCAAGTCCTAGGATTACCCCGACCCCTACCCCTACCCAAAAAATAAAAATAAAAATAAAGATTCAAGCAGGAACATCTTAGAAAAAAAAAATTCAGACTGAGCTATCAAAACAACCTTTCAAAAATAATCTTTCTTGAACTCAGGGCCTGCACACTATCCTTGAGCTTTTTATTTTGCTCAAGGATAATACTTTGCTCTATGACTTGAGCCATAGCTCCTTTTCTGGCTTTTTGGTGGTTAAGTAGGTGCTGGTGGCTCATGCCTACAATCCTAGCTACTCAGAAGGCTGAGATCTAAGATCATGGTTCAAAGCCAACCCAGGCAGGAAACTCGGTGAGACTCTTATCTCTAATTAACCACCAGAAAATTGGACGTGGCACTGTGGCTCAAGTGGTAGAGTTCTTGCCTTGAGCTGAAGAGCTCAGGGACAGCACCCAGGCCAAGAGTTCAAGCCCCATGACCAACCAAAAAAGAAGAAAAAAGAAAGAAAAGATTCACGTCATGGACTTTCCTACTCAGGCTGGAAACCACAATCCTGAATAACTAGGATTACAAGCATGAGCCACTGTTACCCTACCTGAAGACAATTTTGACAGACATGCAAAATGAAAATTTTCTGCTGTGCTAAATGTAGCCTGAATTTTTAGTCTTGAGAAATCATCTGCTGAAACCACTTATATTTGAATTGTAATTTACTGAAGGATTCCTACATAGTATTAGGTATTCAAACAACCAGAGATATATATTACTTCTTCCTTGCAAGACAGCATAGCTAGGTGGTAAAAGCAAACTCTAAACTATAATAACACTACACTATATTTTTCTTCTACTGATACTCTAAGACACTAATTATAATAAATATATTAAATATTAACATACTTAAAATGAACTATTTCAAATAATTACCTTGATTTTTTTCAGCCTCTTCTACAGAGCCAATGTATTTAGCAGATACTTGGTGATTATCTAATGAAGGGTCTAATGCATAACCTAGAAGAGGAAAAAGTGCAAATGACTGACTCCATGTTCTCATTTACAATTCACTTTATTACTATATACATACATTTCACATTTTCCTTCCTTGTTACAAAAACAGTCTCTTTGAGGGTCAATCCATCTTTTCTAAATTCCATTTCTATTTATATCAACTAACCCAAATTTCAGTTATGAATCATGATAACTTCAGCAAAATAAGAAATATCTTATAGGATGAATTTAACAAGTAGATATAACACATTATTAAGAGCCTTTCTAGACACAAAGACAGATTTCAAATATCGACAAAATTTTGTTCAAAGGCTTAGAAACTTTCCTTTTTTCTTTTGGTAATGGGTGCTACATTTTTGGATATTATTAATTATTAAATTAAGAAGGTAAGAAGTCAATTATATGAAATGTAACTATTATTTTGAAAACGTCATTTTTGGCAAGATGAGTCTTTCTTCTAGTCTTAAACATAATGCATTTTTACTTCATAAATCATTCTACATTCTATTGTATTCCTCCAGTCATTCACAGAAGTTACTACATATATAAATGTTTTCTTCAGTGGTCCAGGGGAACTCAGAGAAAGAAAGTATACCTAAATAAACTCATATCAGTTTCTTTTTCTCTCAAGTGGATATATTAGTACAATAAATTAATCCAGCATGTTCACAACTGAGACCAGGTCATTTTTTAGTCAATGGCCTACAATCTATGAACAATCACAAAACACATAAAAGCACTAGCCCATATTTTAAAATTGTTTTATGTTTTTCTTTCTTTGTGCCAGTTCTGGGATTTGAACTCAGAACCTGGGAGCTGTACTTGAGCCAAGGCTAGCGCTCTGCTCTAGTACTTGAGCAACAGCTCTACTTCTGGCTTTTTGGTAGTTAACTGGAGATTTGAGCCTCAATTCTCAGATCTCAGAGTCCTGGGTAGCTAGGATTACAGATGCCAGTCATGTATACTCAGCTTAGCCCATATTTTAAAATTGCATGTCCTAATAGGTATCTTTGACATTTTTATTTTTCATATGAAGATTAAAGAGAATTTCTTTGTGGGAACAGCAAAAGATTTGTCATGAAACATACATTTAAAACCAGCTAAAGATGTAGGTGTTCAGCTCACCCTTGTGCTATCCCAGAATAGAACCAACCAGCTGGCTATTAGTTCCTTTGCATATGTTTTTTCAGCATTAAAATATGTGTTATTTTTTGGGAAGAGGAGTTCTGGGAACTCAAACTTGCTATCTGATACTTTTGCTCACTGGCTGGCACCCTACCGCCTGAGCCATGCCTCCAACCCCTAGAATATGTTCTTAGCCCAAGGAGAGAGGTGGATGGCAGAAAAGGGGCTTTGGAGTAGAATTTCTGAAATCATAGGTTCACGTTCCATAACTGATTTTAGATTTAACTTCTTTGATGTACAGAATAGTGTTCTGTATATAATTTTTTTTTGGGGGGGGGGTTCGGTCGTGGGGCCGAATTTTTTAAAGATGAGACTTTTATAAAGCTCATAAAATGCAGACTAACATACCCTGTATTATAAATTCCTCCCTCAATCATATAAACTTACCAAAAACGTAAATTCAACTTTGAAAGAAAATTTAGGTCTATGTAAGTGGCACTGTGGGCTATATTTGGAGGGCTGGCTGAGGAAAAAAAAGAAAAAAGGGCATGGGTGCCTGGTCCTTCTTGTGTCTATCAGCACCACTTCCCTGGTTCATCTGGCCAGTCTGACTCATGAGGAAAGGAATATATGCCTTTCTCCTGTTTCATATCCTCTGCATGAAAATCTTTTACTTCCACTTTCATCATCCCTTCTGTTGCCTCCCATACCAGGTGATTGTAGACACCATCATTTTCCTTTTACAGAAAGAGAATTAAGTATTTAGCCCATATATCCCACTCCAAATATGCCAGTGATAGCCTAAGAGCTAACTTACACCATAGAATTCCAGTCCAAATAGTTTTGTTCCTTATCTCAAATAAATAAATATATCTGCATGATAGTTCTGAAATATTGTCTTTCTGAAGTTTATTTTCCCTCTTACCTTTTTAATTGAGTTAATGTCTTTCTCCTAGTAGTCATATTTAAAGTTATAATTATATAATTTTTATTATACTTAAGACTATCAATAGTAATGTTCTAAGATAAACTATAAAGGATTTGCAAAGGAATGATAGCAAATATATAAAATGACCTTCACCCTCATTAGTAGCCTAGAAAAATCAAATGAAAATAAATGGAAATAATATTTTGGATATCTAATAGAGGAGAAAACAACCTGTTGGATCTTGGGTGAAGAGGAATTAAGCTTTTATACATAGGTAGTAGTGGTAAAACAAGTTGGGAGAATTATTCCTTATGAGATACCATACTTTTTAAAAATTTTAAAGTGTGACCAGTTGGTAAAAATGAAGTTACAATATGTCAATAATGACTATAGTGAGACTAAAGGTATTTATCTGACATTTTATTTTCTAGTTCTAGACTGGTATAGAGAAGATTCTGAGTAAAAGTAGAACCAGGGGGAAAAAAACACACTAAGCCCCAAGTGAAAACAGCAAGAGAACATACAGGAATTTAGGAAACATAGAAAAGGTAGCAGCCAGGGAGAATGTATGGACCACAGAGTGCTGTGGTGACAGAGAAGCACCACACACAGGAGCCGGTGACATAGCCATCACGCTGTCTTCACTGAGAAGGACTCGAAGGCGGGCTCTATAGTAAACCAAATGTACTACAGTATAAAAATCCTCCAGAAATCATTCACTGAAACTATTACACACTTAAAATAGGAAGAACAGGGCCCTAGGTTCAATCTCTAGTACCAAGGTGGTGGGGTAAAAAAAGAAAAAAAAGAAGGAAAACAGGACCAATAATTGATCTATATTCCAATAGCCATATCCAAGAGTTATTAACGTGACACTTGGTAAAACTGAATTGACCTGCTATCTCCTTAGTACAAGATAGAATAAAATATAAATCAAAATAAGAATTCTCTATAGAAAGTTATAACCTGATCAAACAGAGCTATACTATTCAGTATTTCAGCATAAAGACAATAGAAAAGGCATTAAATCTGAGGCTGCTTCATTTGTAAGAAATATCACAAAGGAGGCACACCATGACTGTCTTGGTTTTTCAACTGGCTTCTCCATTTATTCCAGGTTGCTTAATATAGTATAGTTCCACATTCACTCTTCTAAGTAGTTCACCCTATGTCTGAGCTTACCACTTCCTTTTAAGAGGGGCAAAAAACAACTGCATTTCTTTTTATTATTATTTTGAAATAAGCTAATTTATATTTTGGGGAATTATTTTTTTGTATATTTTTTAATTGTAAAAATATTGTACAGAGGGATTATAGTTACATGAGTAAGGTAAGGAGTATATTTCCTATCAGGCACTGTTACCTCCTTCTTTGTTTTTCCCCTACCATCCCTTACCTCCCTACTGCCCCAACTCCTGCCCCCACCAAGTTGTAAAGTTTGTTTTCAACATAGTGTTTGTACATCTCATTGTTACAATGGGTCACCTTGTATCCTTATTTCAGCATTTTGTTATTTCACTTCCCCTCCCCAAACCAGTAGAAAAGAGTTATACCATGGGGGAAGAACATAGAAAAGAACAAAAAAAAAATCACATGGTACATTATAAATACATTAAAACAACAGCAAGAAAGATAAAACTACTTGTGTCCCTATCTTGAGGTTCATTTAGCTTAGCATCATCTTATATGGTCATATGTACATAGCTTTTGACCTATTCTGCTTGTCGTAGATATATACTAGTTATTGCAAAAATAAGGAAACCATGGAACCTATGTTTCTTTGGGCCTGGTAAAATAAGCCAATTCCTAAACTCAAGGCTAAAAGCCAAATGTAAATGTATTTTTTTTTGTAAATTGTAAATGCTTATTTTTGCTATAAACTAAGATATCAGAATAAACATAATTAGACTTTTTCCCTCTTGTTTTATTTTATCTTCTTTATTTACTTTATTTTATCTTCAATTGTTACATACGCTCCTCTAAAGTCTAGAAAAAACCTCATTCCTTAAGTGTCTGTTATAGTATCCACTAGAATAAATAAGTTCATAATATAACTATGTTGATTTTTCTATGCTGTACATTATTTTAGACAGTGAGAATCCTTACATAAACAATGGAAGTGTCATGGAAGTGTCAATGAAGTCTTCTGCGGTTTTTAGTAGTATACAGCATTAACTGTGACATTCACACACTCCAGATGTACTAAATCAAATATGTGACCAGCCTTCAAGTACATTAATTTTTTTAAATCCCACCTTTGTTAGCACATGATAATGTTACCCATGAATTTGTTGCTATTCTATTTTCTGAGTTCCTTTAGTGATCAAGGGAAAATATTTCAGAGATAAGATTTGAGAAACAGAGTAAGATCAACTAGAGTATAAGATAAAAAAAAATGTAATCTCTTAATTCTATCCTTTTATGGGGGACATTTAATCACAAGTGCTTATTAAGTAGTTCAACGACAGAAAAAAACTGTTCTCTCTATAGAGTATATTTCCAGCACACAGAATATAATTGGACTTTAAATAGTAGCTGGAAATATTAATTCACCTTTCCATTTGTATAAATATTTATAGATGTATATAAAAAGGTATATAGTTACCATTATTGAAGGATTAATAAATTTTAAAAGTTGGAAGGTAAAATAGATTATTGTACTTAAAAATCACACTTCTAATTAAGTCAAATGTTTATCATAATCTTACCATACGTAGCAAAAGTTCTTCTTTGCTGTTCGAACATGAAATCATTGATATGAGCTGGTTCAGCATATCCAGATAGCATATTTCTAGGGGCAGCCATTTGCTGTGTCCTAAAGGGATTTTCTGGTCCAAACTATGATGTTACAAAGGAGAAAAGAAAAAAAAAAAACAAGTTCTCATTGTAGGCAAGATAGAATTATTGAAATTACTGTATAATGTATTTTCAATTCAAAATCACTGGGAGCTTATTAGCCTATATGGAAGCTTGCTAGGCTCCTATGGTCTAGTGCAACTGGACAATGGTGATGAACATTATTCCTTAGCCAGAGATAAAAGCATCCCACTCACCCAAGCCTAAACACGACTACTATTTTAAGAGCTTGTAGCTACATGTGCTTATTGGCTACTGAAGTGACATCACTGTAGTAAGTTGATAGTATTGCCCTGGATAATTGAGGATTACTATGGATTTTTCTATATTATGATTTGGGTGATATTTAGTGATATTTTACCAAAAAAGCACTGAAATATAATTAAAAAAACATTTTTTCCTCCACTACTTATGACTTTGTCAGAAGTAGAGAACCAGAATCTTCTATGTCTACCATAGTGCCCAGCATATAGAAAGCATTAATGAACAAAAGATTAATCAGAATCCTAGTTGGGGCACAGGATAACAAAAAAGACAGTAAAATTAAGTGTTTGAAACTTTGAAAAGTCCCATTGTGACTTATGGAACCAAACAGTGCCATCATTGCCAATATGTTTGTAGTGCTTTGGTTTTCCAGAAGATCTCTGAAATAGGGGCTGGGAAAGTGGCTCAGTGGTAGAACGCTTGCCTTGCATGCATGAGGCCCTGGGTTCGATTCCTCGGCACCATAGAAGCAAAAAGAAAAAAGCTGGAAGTGGCACACCGTGGCTCAAGTGGTAGAGTGCTAGCCTTGAGCTGAAGAGCTGAGGGACAGCGCCCAGGCCCAGAGTTCAGGCCCCACAACCGGACCCCCTCCCCCCCAAAAAAGATCTCTGAAATATTACTTAAGATGGTTTGTGTAAAAATAGTAGAAAGTTAGATACTTTGCTTCTTATGACACAAAGTAAAAAGCCAAATATGATATATTTTACCTGCCCAAGGGGTAAAAACGTTTTACCAACTAATAGAACCAAGGTTGAACAATATCAAGCATCTTTTCACACCATAACATTCCTCAAATAGACAATCATAGTCTCTAACTTGTAAAAATGTAGATTCAGATGTACCAGAATACAAGTTCAATCTTTGTTTTAAAATGAATAAAATGAGCTTTCCACTTTGGAAAGAATGAGCACAACAATTTTTCTTACTTGAACTCTGGAAAATCGACTGTACTTCTAGAATATTTTAACATCAGAACATCTTGGGTCAGCATCATTAGGAACAATCTTTTTTTGTGATACATTTCTAGAGCCACAAATGTAAATTACTGATTTTCTTCTAATAAGTACCCTATCTTCTCCAGATCAACATTGTAAATGTTGATAAATCTGTAATTGTTATTCTAACCAATAAAGAGCTGTGTGTGGTGGTGTGTGCTTATGACCTCAACCACATAGGAAGTATAAATAAGAGGAATGCAGCAGAGGCCAGCTCAGACAAAAGTGAGACCCTATTTTTGAAACATAAGAGCAAGAGAGCTGGGGTATAATGTAAATCATAAATCACCTGCCTGGCAAGTCTAAGGCTCTAAATTCAAATACCAGTACTGAAAAAAAAAAAAAGAGAGACAGAAAACCTAATAAAAAGAAGACTTATGAATAAGTAGATGGGAAAAAACACATCACTAATCTCAGAGAAATGAAAATTAAAATCAGCATGAATAATCATCTCATATCTGTTAGAATGCTATCATCAAAAAGACAAAAGATAATTAGTGCTGGCAAGGATGAGGAGAAAAAGAATCCATCCACATTGTTTGGTGGAAATGTACAGGCAACACACTATGGAGCATTCTGGAAAATTAAAAATAGAACTGCTATATGATCTAGCAATCTGCAAGGTTTATATACATGTCAGAGACATCTATACGCCTATGTATAGTTCAAGATTATTTACAATAGGTGAGATACAGAATCAACCTAAGTGTCAACTGATACAGAAAATACAGTTTACCCCCCGCTCCCCCACATACACAATGGAAAAGCATTCAGCCTAAGAAAAAAAATAGGAAGTCCTGTTATTTGTTTCAAGACAGATGAACCTGAGTTACGTGCTGGTGGCTTACGTCTTATCCTACCTACTCAGGAGACTGAGATCTGAGGATAGCAGAAAAGTCCACATGAGACTCTTATCTCTGATAAACTACTCAAAAAAACTGGAAATTGTGCCGTGGTTCAAGTAGTAGGGCACTAGTCTTGAGCACAAAGAGGCTCAGGGACAGCACGCAGGCCCTGAGTTTAAGCCCCAGGACGGGTAAAACAAAACCACTAAATAACACACACACACACACACACACACACACACACACACACACACACACACACACCACACACACACACACACACACACACACACACACGAACCTGAGGATCTATGTTAAATGACTAGATGATCTTTTTTTCTTGTTTTAATTTTGATTTAATGCACTATTAATATAATTTATGCTATTATATTCAGTGGGTATTACTTATTTTTTAACACATTTTTATTGTAAAAATACTGTACAGAGGGGCAAGGCAATGAGTATATTTCCTATCAAGCATTGCAACCCCCGCGCCCCCTCAAACTGTAAAGTTGGTTTTTCAACAGAGTGTCTTATGCATCTCATTGTTACAATAGATCAACCTGTATCTCTATTTAAGCATTTTTTTCCCTTCCCCTCCCCAAATTAGAAAAATGTATATACAAGATGCAGGGCATGGGAATCAAATACAGTGAAAACAGGGGTTATACCGTTGGGGAGGAACATACAAAGCAACAACAAAAAAAATCACATAGTACAGTATAAATACGTTAGAAACAATAGCAAGAAAGAAAAAAAAACATTTGTGTCCCTATCTTGGGGTTCATTTAGCTTAACATCATCTTATCTGGTCATATGTACATAGCTTTTTACCTTTTCTGCTTGTCCCAGACATATACTAGTTATTGCAAATAAGGGAAACCATGGGACCTATGTTTCTTTGGGCCTGGCTTACTTCACTTAATATAATTTTTTCCAAGTCTTTTCCATTTCCTAACAAATGGGGCAATGCCATTCTTTCTGATGGGTTGGTTCCATATCTTAGCTATGGTAAATAATGCTGCAATAAACATAGTTGTGCTGGTAGCTTTAGTATGGTCTTGTTTGTGATCATTTGGGTAAATGCCCAAAAGGGGGATTGCTGGGTCATAAGGGAGCTCTATGTGGTCTTTTGAGGAACCTCCATACTGCTTTCCAAAGTGGTTGAACAAGTTTACACTCCCACCAACAATGCAGTAAGGTTCCCTTCTGGCACATCCCCTCCAGCATCTGTTGTTAGAGTTCTTGATTATAGCCATTCTAACTGGGCTGAGGTGGAATCTGAATGTTGTTTTGATTTGCATTTCTTTTATGGCTAGAGAGGTTGAGCATTTCTTCATGTGTCTATTGGTCATTCTTTATTTCCTCTTCGGAGAAGTTTCTCTTTAAGTCTTTAGCCCACTTATTTATTGGGCAGTTGTTTCTTTGAGGATTTGTTGCTGGGGGGATTTAATTTTTTGAGTTCCATGTATATTTTAGATATGAGACTCTTGTTTGTTGTATGGCTAGTGAAGATCTTCTCCCAATCCATGGACTTTCTATTGATCTTGCTAGCTATATCCTTTGCCATGAAGAAGCTCTGCAGCTTCATGCAATCCCATTTGTCCAACCTTTCTTTGATTTGTTGTTTCTGGGTCTCTATTAAGAAAAATTTGGCCTGTGCCAAGGAGACCTAGGGTTTCTCCTATTCCTTCCTATAATGTTTTCAGGCTGTCTGCTTTGACTCGGAGGTCTTTGATCCATTTGGAGTTGATTCTGGTGCAGGGTGATATATAAGGATCTAGCTTTAGTTTTCTACAGGTGAATAACCAATTTTGCCAGCACCATTTTCTGAAGAGGCTGTCTTTCTTCCATTCTTTTTTTTTTTTTAGCTCCCTTATGGAAGATTAGGTGTCTTTAGGACTGTGGGCTCATTTCTGGGTTTTCAATTCTATTCTATTGGTCCTCAGGTCTGTTCAAGTGCCAGTACCAGGCTGTTTTGATTACTATGGCTTTGTCGTAGAGTTTGAACTTTGGTATTGATATTCCTCCAGCACTATTCTTTCTGTTACGGATCGTTTTGGCTATTTGGGGTCTTTTATTGATCCATATGAATTTTTGGATTGCTTCTTCTATTTCATTGAAGAATGAGGTTAGAATATTGATAGGTATTGCATTGAATTTGTAGATACCCTTGGGAAGTATTGCCATTTTCATGACATTGATCCTTCCAATCTAGGAGCATAAGAGGTTTTTCCACTTCCTAAGTTCTGCTTTGATTTCCTTTTTCAGGTTTTTAAGGTTTTCATCGTAGAGGTCCTTCACTTCTTTAGCTAATTCCTAGGTATTTTATTTTTTGTGGGGCTATTACAAAACGATTTGCTTTCCTGATTTCAGCCGTGCTCTTTTCATTGTTGGCATACAGAAAAGCCATTGATTTCTGAGGGTTAATTTTAGATGATCTTACTATCTGTAGAATTACACAAAGTTGAAAACACAAGCAGAGAGTAGAGTGGTGGTTACCAAGAGCAGTGGGGTATAAGGCTTATGGATGATGTTGACCAAAGAATATAAGATTTCATTACAGAGGAGGAGTAAGCTCAGGGAAACTATTGTGCTATTTTGGAATGGCATTCTTCTAAGACAGGTAAATCATCTCTCAAATGGTAGAAGTGAAAGAACTTTACTTATAACACATTTTTTAATGTGAGAAGATGCTAGTAGATAACTCAGAGATTTAGTATTATGAGGTAGTAATTTTCAAAAGTCTTTGAAAGAAGAATTCTTAAGAGCCACTATCTTAGAAATATCTCATTATTACATAATAGACATTAAGAAAATTTATACTAAAAAACTAAATACACAAAATCATAACTGTAAGTTCACACAGGGAAAAACCCCAAATATGCAAATTAGTATTATATACAGATTTTTGTTAAAATTTTAATATATATTATTTTTTTTTGTCTGTCATGGGGCTTGAACTCTGGGCCTGGGTGCTGTTTCCTAGCTCTTCAGCTCGAGGCTAGCACTCTACCACTTGAGCCACAGCACCACTTCTGGTTTTCTGGTAGTTTATTGGAGATAAGAGTCTCACAGACTATTCTGCCTGGGCTGGCTTTGAACGGCAATCCTCAGATCTTAGCCTCCTGAGTAGCTAGGAATATTTATAGCAGTCATTAATGTTTAAAAATTTACAAACATATTTTAAGGTGGGATGTGCCTATTAACTGCATTATTTCTATAAATTAGAAAAAGATAACCACAATTCAATTTTATTGAAGAATACTTAAAGCTTATAAGATAAGCAAAATTTAAACATTATTTGTATAAGAAAATTTCTTAATGCTAGTTCTTATGACCTTGGAGCCCAGTTTCTTATAAAGTAAGAGGTGAGCCACATGATTTCTAAATTCATTTTGGTATTAACATTTATAGCAGCCCTTACAGCCACTTTTAACAGTTAACTGGTATTTTTCTTTTTCCTTAGCTTTTATATTTTTTTTTATTGAAAGTACTATTATTTAAAGGAGTCTAAAATTCTTCCTGAGATCTGTAAGTTTAAATAAGTTAATAAATACATTTTCCCCTAAGATACTAAAAAAGAATTGAGTGAAATAAAAAAAAAATCACTAGATGGGAAAAATTAGGCTATTATGAATTTTATACAGCCCACAATTTAAGAAAACTTATCTAGATAAATAGATAAACCAAGGAAAACTCCTTAGTTGGAAGGAACATTGTTTTACAAAATAAGAATTTGGTTAATTTTCAGAACTAGCAAAGTCAAAGATATAGCAATGTACCCAGCAAACTCCATCATGGCCTTTCAACTGATCTGTCAGTTATAAAGAGAAAATGAGAGATTGGACCTGAATCTTCGAAAAATTTCATTTGCTGGCAATATAATCAGTGACCTGGTTTCCTTGCTATGAAATAATGATAGACCATTTACTTCATAGGGACATAAGCAGAACAAAATGAGCAAAGTTTTATTAATCCCTCAGTAGTAAAGTAGTTCTGTATTATGCAAACCCTTAACAAATAAGTCTCCCTAAAAATTCAGTTTTGATGATGTGATCTCTCTATGTAAGAGCCTCAGAAATCAGAGACATAGCTATGGCTCAGGCCTCTGTTGAAAGCAGAAGGCCTTGAGTTCAAACCCTCGAACTACCAAAACAATCAATCAAAACCCTCAGAAATCTATCAGCTATTCATCAAGACCAACTTTCTCTTGGCTCCCTAAACCCTGAACAGTATTCTACAAAGTACCATTCTAGGGTTTTATGGTTTTTTTTAGGTCTTTTAATTTAGATATCTGCTTTCTGAGTGAAAAATCTATAATAACCATTCATATAAAAATTAGCGACTTCAGTACTAATGATACCATACAAAACATTTAATAACTTTTACATGATCCATTCCAGTTATTTACATTAAAACAGCCTCCTGGAGACATAATAATCTAAATAACCACACAGAATTTTAGATACCTTCCCAGACTGGGATGTATACATAAGAACAGAGGATCTTCTATTGTTATCAGCCTCTCAATCCACTTATATAGGTTACTTACAGGCACGAGGTACTGTTTTTAAACAATACAAAGCATACATGCTGATGGAATATTGCTGATGAAAAATGCAGGTATCACATAAGAAAGATAAAGGAAAAACTTTTGCCTATTTAATTTTGTAGACTAAATCTCCTAATAAAACTTTAAAATTAGTAGAATCTAAATAGATACATACACATAAATTATGACATAGTTCCATATTTTACATCCTGTTGAAGTATAATTTAAAAATTCTTAATGCTGTTTGATTTTTAATAAAATCAAGTCAAGGCCTATTTCCTTCACAATATTATCACAAAAATTTTACCTGATCTTTAACTTTTTTCTTGAAAGTTCTGAAAATTATAATTTTATAAAGCAATATTTGGTTCTAAATAAGACTAGCAAACTGAAGAAAAACAGACATCATAGAAATATGTTGACATCACAGTGTCATATATGACATTACTTCCAAATTTTCTCATTTTCTTAATTTAGGAGCTCATTTAAAAATCATGAAACATATATGTAATATACAACCTCTCTTCAGTGAGGCAGCTGAAATGGTGCCAAGGGAATGAGAAAGTCTATATCGTTCACTAGTCTAGAGAGCCTTAAATAAGCTTAGCTTAAAAGCTAAGATGTCCTAGAGGCTCAAGAGCATGAGAATAAGACTGTACTCACTGCCTCTAGAGAGTAGCCGGAGCACTATCTAAATATAAGCACTGCCATTGTTGGCTATGCTACACATTTTAATGGCCACCTTTGAAGTACCATGGAAATCTAGGCCAAACACATGAAATCATTCTTGAACTCTGAGATAACAGACAAAAGACAAGGACTATATGTTATTAAATGAAAAGTACTAAGAAGATAATAGTACTTCACCTGAACCTTTAAGGTGCATGCCAAAGACCCTGCTTCTAAAGCCTAATTTCTGTTTTATAATGACTATTTTTTGGCATCTCTATGTGTTAATCAAGCATCCTTTTCCATTTTAATGTTTAGGAGTGTAATTTTTTTTTTTTTTGGTCGGTTGTGGGACTTGAACTCTGGGCCCAGGCGCTGTCCCTCAGCTCTTCAGCTCAAGGTGAGCACTCTACCACTTGAGCTACAGCACCACTTCCGGTTTTCTGGTGGTTTATTGGAGATAGGAGTCTCATGGTCTCTCCTGCCCAGGATGGCTTTGAACAGAGATCCTCAGATCTCAGCCTCCTGAGTGACTAGGATTACAGGCGTGAGCCACCAGCGCCCGGCTTAGGAGTGTAATTTTTTAATATAAACTTTCCTAAGTAGATAATAATCAAAGATGTTCTTAAATGGACAATGGAAATTATTTCTGCCAGGTTTTTCTTCCTTCATTTTTGTTTTCATGCTCTGTTAGTGTTTATTACCAGAGCTTGGGGTGGGGGTGGAGGTGGGGGAGAAAGTAACGGACAAAACCCCCCAAACTCCATGCAGTTAGTTCTTTGCTTTACTAAGTGCATCAAATACTGTGACTACTTTCCAGAAGTGTTAGTATGACATATCAGAGGCATTTGTAACTAAATGTTTTATAACACATCAGTTTACTTTATGGTTAATTATAATACTTCTTTATCAATGCTGAGAGGAAGAATCAGATATCTATGGGCCTGGGAATGTGGCTTAGGGTAGAGTGCTTGACTAGAATGCGTGAAGTCCTGGGTTTGATTCCTCAGTACCACATAAATGGAAAAGGCCATATGTGGCACGGTGGCTCAAGTGGTAGAGTGCTAGCTTTGAGCAAAAAGAAGCTCAGGGATAGTACCCAGGCCCTGTGTTCAAGCCCCAGGACTGGACAAAAAAAAAAAAAAAGGAATCAGATATTTTCATATTTCCTTTTTTAAAGGACGTAGTTTACCAGCTATCTATAGGTAGATAAAGTATCCTTACAAAAAAAAAGTACTATTTAGATTTTTGGATATCAGAAGGATCTATGTTCTAAAAGTTCAAATAGTAAATTTTTGTGAGAAAACTTTAAAAAATTCAGTAACTCTTAATCTACCTATATACGATTTAAATATTTCAAAAGGGAGAATCTTGAATATGTTTCCTTACCTCAGGAGCAAACATGGTCTCATAGGTAGGATTGTATTGAACTTCTTTCACGGCAGGGTCAAGGTGAACTCCAGTCTCCAAATCTTCCTAAAAAAAAGCCAAGTGAACATTAAAAATTTCACATGTAACTATTTCATTTTAGAAATTATACCAAAGCTTCTAAACACCAGCCATTTAAATCACCAATTATGATAATTATATTATTAATATATACTACTGATATATATTATTGATAATTCTAAAAATAAAAAGATTAATAACAATAATATTTGAATGTATATGTATGGCTAGTTTTAGAGGTATCATATGTAACAAATCTTCTTTTCAAAATATTTACTTTAGCTAGAGATGTGGTTCAAATGGTAGAGCTATTGCTTAGCAAATGTAAGGCTCGAGTTTAAACCCTAGTAGGACCAAAAAATAAAAGACAAAAAACTCTTAGAAATAAGTTAATTAGAAGATTCTAATTCTCTTTGTGTCTTAATTAACTCAGAAGTCTTGGTTCTCTTGTTCCACAGTCAGAAGAGGCACTGTTTTTATTTAGCAAGCCTATTAAATGTGTGAACAGATGGTTCTTGGTTTGGTACTGTAGAGGAAACAGAAGGAAGTGGCAGGGATTGAATCTTTTTAACCTAAAGTCTTAGAATCCATGTCAATGCTTCAACTTTTTTTCAATTCATTCCTCAGTTTAATGAACATTCTGGAAAAATCACTGGCAGTTCCTTTTGTAACTCTTCCACTAATAAATTTATAATGGTATCCCTAGTCTGGCCCTGTCTCTTGAACTGTATAGACTTGTATATCCAAGCTTAGCCTTGGGATCTTTTCTTAGAATATCTAACATACATCTGAAATCATTCTTGGCCTTGTTTCTCCTAATGACCTTCTAGGGTCCTCTACATTACTGGCAATTACATTCATAAGCAGTTGCTCAGGTCAAAATCTCTAAGTTATACTTGACTATTCTGTCATACACTATATTAATCCATCAGCAAATCTACCTTCTGTATATATTCACAACAACTTTTCATACCCTCTTTCCATCAGCTCAGTTCAATGAGCATCTTGCATCAGGATTACTGTAATGGTCTCCCTACTTTCTACACTTGCCCACCTACAGCCTCACTGCACATAGAAGCCAATGCAATGCTTTCAAAATACTAGTCAGAGTATAATACTACTTTGCTGTAGTCCCTTCATTTCCCAGTAGCTTTTCCACTCAGATTAAAAATATAATATATGTCTACAAAGCCCATTACAGTTCTTGGAAAGTAGGCCTGGCTCCCTAGAGTAGCTTTACAGGGCATGTTCCTTTTTCACTTTTGTCCTCTCTGAGCATCCACATATTTAAAACTTGTTATTCCATTATAAATATGTTTCCTTTAGTTAAGGCATGCTGATGTCATGCTGAAGGTAGGATATATCTTGTCAAGGTGATACAAATTAATGCTGCAAATTTTGCATACATGTGGGGTTTATAAAGTTAACAGTTATACTAGAGAAGAACGCATACCATGAATGATAATTTGCATAGTTATACAGGCCAATGATCAAAGACCAGAAAACCAATAAGAAAAATGCCATAGACATAGTTATTGTTCCAAAATCTTCCACTCATAAAATGTTTGCAACAACACTTATATTACAGGATATTTAGTTTCTCTAATCAAAGATAGAGTTCATCAGAAAAAGTGTCTTCCTTGAACTTCACTCCTCGCTAGTTCAAAACTGTCCATTTCCTTACCCATTTACCTTCTCCTTATAACTTCCAATTGCCACCCCCAATCCATCCATTCTTCCTTCCTTCTCTCTTTCCTTTTGTCTCACAGCCCTGATCCCATTCTTGGTCTCTGGATTCTCATATCCAATTGCCTACTGAATTTCATTATATGTGGATGTCACCATATCAAACACTATGCCACAGAACATTCGCTCTTCCCATACTTTATCTTCAGGCAGTCTTGCTCATTATGTATATTTCTCCAGAAATCCCATTCCATTCTTCCTTCTTCATATTCCACCTACTTCTGTCCTAGTTCAGGACTCTAATTTCCCCACTTTTGCCATATTAAACTAACAGGTGCTTTTAAAAAAAGAACAAGCAATTCAAAGCTTTCTGTACTACTTTGTGTCATAAGGCATTCCCTTTGTTAGCTGGTAACATCATCTTCTTATTTTCCCTGATCTGTTCCCTCTGCTTGCCCGAGGAAAAACACTTGAATGCTCACAGTCCTAAAGTATTTTTCACAGTATTTGTGACATTATTTGTTCTGTGTAACTTTTACTTATACTTACATGTTATATCCTTACTGCCTAGTAGAATTCAGGCCATTCAGTACATAAATATTTGTTAAATTAAAAAGCTGAAAGGAAAAAGCAATCCATGGAGAAATTAAATAGGATCAGGCTGACTAAAGGTTGCTGCGTTCGGCAATACAGTACAAAAAGATGTCTTCCAGAGTGATTTTGGTACTGACATGAGTCATAAAAAGATAGTTGTAAGGAGCATTTGTACAAATAAAAATATAGGAAAACAAGATCAGATTACTTTTTGGACTTTTAAGATGTTTGGCATGTGTTAGGCTGGCTTTGGCCTTCAACCTTCTGCCTTAGTCTTCCAAGTGTTGAGATTATAGGTATGTACCAGCATGCTAGTCCTTTCCTTATTCTTGGCCTGTGTTTCTGCCTGCTGTCTTCTTTCTTGTAGAAGTATGATTGACTATATCTTTTCTTAAGAAGAAAGAAAATTAAACTTAATTTTTTTCGGAAACCCCTCCCATCTGACATCTCATCTCTTGAAATCAATATTCCACATTGTGTGATGTTGTACAACTTCACATGCAGTTTAATTTTGTTGCTCGAATTTCTTGTATCACAGTTGATATTTATTTATTTATTTATTTGGGTTGGTCGTGGGGCCTGAACTCTGGGCCTGGGCACTGTCTGTCAGACATTCAGCTCAAGGCTAGCACTCTACTACTTGGGCCACAGCACCACTTCTGGCTTTTTCTACTTATGTGGAGCTGAGGAATCAAACCCAGCGCCTCAAGCATGCAAGGCAAGTACTCTACCACCAAGTACTCTAGCCCCATAATTGATATTTTTTGTTTGTCCTCTCAACTCCTGATATATATATATATATATATATATATATATATACACATATATATGTATATTAAAATCTCCTACTGTGATTGAGCACTTATCATTTTCTTATAGTTGTTAAATTTTGCTTAAATATTTTGCGCTTTCATTGTTATATCCCTCTTTGTGAATAGAATCTTTTATCATTATGAACTATGATTCATAAAGGAATAATTTGATAATACTGGACTAAGTAGACAATTCTATTCATCAAAAGGCAGAAAAAACTGTTAGGGGCCAAGTTACAAACAGAAAAGAATTTTTGCAATATATATGTCTGACAAAGGCATTCATAATACAAACATGTCCTACAGAAAAAAATGAAAAGACAGGGCTGGGAAGGCAGCTCAGTGGTAGAGTGTTCACCTAGCATGCATGAAGCCCTGGGTTTGATTCCTCAGCACCACATAAACAGAAAAAGCCCGAAGTAGTGCTGTGGCTCAAGAGGTAGAGTGCTAGTCTTGAGCAAAAGAAGCTTAGGGATAGTATTCAGGCCCTGAGTTATAGCCCCAGGAGAAACAAAGAAAGAAAGAAAGAAAGAAAGAAAGAAAGAAAGAAAGAAAGAAAGAAAGAAAGAAAGAAAGGAAGGAAGGAAGGAAGGAAGGAAGGAAGGAAGGAAGGAAGGAAGGAAGGAAGGAAGGAAAGAAGGAAGGAAGGAAGGAAAGAAGGAAGGAAGGAAGAAAATTATTTTTGAGAGAAAAAAAATAACCAATAACAAATATGAAAATATAATCAATCTCACTAGTGCTCACTGCATAAATTTATGTTTTGAGCCAAAATACTTGCTATTAGTCACAATACCAATTAGTTAAGTACTAAAATAATGTTTTCCTGCTTCATTTCTCCTTCTTTGATCAATTTCCAACCAATACATTTACTATATGCAAGTTTCCTCCCTGTCTACATCATATAAACAAGTGCTAATTCTCAAACCATCTATAGATACACCACTGCTCTCCCATCAGAGAATGGGGACCATTCAGTGTGGGGGGTGGGAGGGGAGGAGTAGGGATAGCCCAGCTCTGCATCCTTAGATGCATCTCTGGTCTCTGGTATCTTTATCTTACATACTTTATGTAATCTTTCCTCCTGGATTTCCTTACTTATTAATTTCTTAGAGCCTGAAATAAGCTCTAGAGTGCCCCACCTCTGACACTGCCAGCTCAGCTTTGAACTTCAGATTCTCAATGTATATACTTCAAGGTATTCTTTTTCACTTACTTTTTCCATTCTCTTTCCAAATACATTTCCCTTAATCTTGTATTCCAGGATTTGGAGATGCAAAGGAATAGACACAACAATCTCTGGGCCCCAGAATCAGTCGAGGTGAAAGTAAAAAGTTAACAAATCCCAGCAATGTGGCAAGTCCTGCAGTTGAGATATAAAAAGGAGGGACTCAGATAGACACAGCTGAGGAATCTGGCTCTGAGAACTGAAGGACAGTGGAGTCTGGGGTGTGGGATAGTAGCACAAGGCACGGGATTTTTGAGCAGAAAGACTAGTGTGAGCAAAATCATGACAAGAAAAAGGAAAATTAGACTTATGGGGCTCTACAGAGTTCAATATGTGGGAGAATGGCAGGCTTTACGAGGTACATAAGAAACTTAAAACTTCTCTAATAGGCAAGCAACATGGATTAATAATTCTCTAATAGGCAAATTGGGATTTAGAAACAACCTTCACACTGCATGTGGAGAAGAGAATGGGATGTAAAATTGGGGACAAAAATGGACTAAGTAGAAGGAAAAGACAAATGATGAAAAAATTTGAACTAAACAATGGCAGCAATAAAGTGAGTTGTTATATGTCACTAATTACAATGGGCAGGACCTACCACCCCAAAGAAAAGCATGAAAGAGAAAAGAAAGACCAATAGTTACTGGGAGAATTAAGAAAGGTATGAAAGTTATGCTAATGAAAAGAGAGAAGATACTGCATTGAGAAAAACTAATGACACAGAAATGGAAGCTAAATGACTAGCTTCAGGGACTGAGGACAAAAAGAAAAGGGTGACCCTAAGGGATGGAAGTGGAATGATTAATTGAAATGGGAAAAACAAAAGTGGGTTTTGAGGGAAAGAAAATGTTAATTTGGGGAAAGAAAATGTTAATTTTCCAGCATACTGAACTAGAGGTACCAGAGAGCCATCTGGGAAAGATGTTTACTAGGTCTTAAGCTAGTGAAGTGTTTAGGATTAGAAAAGAGAGCTGACATTTAATCACTATTTACTGCTAAAATTGCTTTCCATGGTTTATGAGAATTCTTATAACTCCATGAGATAGGCTCTAGTGTTGAACATTGCAGTGAAGATGAGAAAAGACCGGCACAGAGTACTAAGCAGGTTATGTATCCTAGAATCTTGACTCAAACCTAGGCTTAATGGTTATTTGTGAGCCATCAGCAGCACAGACTGAGTTTGAAGATATAGGAGAATTTGTGAAGTACAAACACTAATTTATTGAAGGAAAGGGCAGAAGAAAGGGGAGACCAGAAGGCTAAGGATAGCCTCTTGGAAGTCCTAGAGAATGTTTTGAGAAAGAGGAACAATTTAGCAGTGTTACTTCATGTGCAGATTCAAGTCAGGTAGCAGAACTTGACAACTGGAAGGCCTGGGGCATTGTCTAGAAGAACAGTTTTCCATGTAGGACCACAATGCATTGGGTTGTAGAGAAAATGGAGGTGAAGTAGTAAAGCAAGCTCCAAAAGCAGGGCTATAAAAAGAAGTTTCTGAAAGATTTAACTTAGGAGAGTTTTGTTTTGTTATGTTATAAAAACCAGTTTCCCAGCTGGTGATTCACATCTGTAATCCTAGCTACTTAGGAGGCTGAGACTTAAGGATCTTAGTTTAAAGCTAGCCTGGGCAGGAAAGTCCATGAAAGTCTTATCTTCAATTAACCACCAGAAAACTGGAAGTGGAGCTGTGGCTCAAAGTGGTAAGAGTGTTAACCTTGAGCAGAAGAGCTCAGGGATAGCTCCCAGACTCTGAGTTCAAGCCTCATGATCACCACCACCAACAAAAATACCAATTTTCCAATATTCTTTAATGCCAGATGTCCTAATAAAGAGTAAAACTCAGCTGGGCCCTATGGCTCAAGCTTATAATCCTCGCTACCTGGGAAGCAGAGAAGGAAAGTGGGTTAAGGTTCAAGCCCAGCTCAGGCATAAAAGTTTGTGAGACTTCATCTCAATCAACTGCTGGTTGAGATGGTGTGTGCCTGTTATCCCAGCAATGGGAGAAGCACAATGCCTGTGACTGTCATCTACAGAGACGGAAAGAAGCCCAAGTAGGAAGACTGAAGCCTAGGTTGAGCTGGGTAATACTACATGGAAAATTAACCAATGCAAAACAGGACTGGGGGTGTGGCTGAGGTGGCACAACACCTGCCTTGCAAGAGACCCTGAGTTAAATCCCCAGTAGTGTTAAAAAAAAAAAAAGGAGCAAAATTCATAACTAGGTCCTTAAAAGCTGGTTAAAAGACTTATGTGATAAACTAGGTGGGAACACTCTCTGATTACCCATATGGAGCTCTAATGCCAAGTGATGGATGCTCTCAGCAAGTTACAGACATACCATTATTTTCCTTATTCCTTAACCGCTCTGAGCTGTCTGCCTTCCCAGGTTTCCTAGTCACCTAAGCTTGGGAACTCCTCCCTTAGTCTACGTGGGACTGACTTCTCATTCTTTGAACTGTCTTTTTCAGAGAGGACTTGCCTGACCAACCTGTCAAAACCATACTCCTTCTTTGTTCCTTATTTTGGTATCTTATATAGTTTATGTTATAGTATTCAATCCAATCTGGAGCTACTTTATTTGGTCACGCTTAATTGGCTGCCTCTTCCCCTAGAACGTATGTATCCTGAGGAAAAGAAGGCTGGCTTGTTGGTCTCCATGGCTTCACCCTTAAAAAGGTACTTGGCAAATAACACGTGCTCAATAAGTAATTGCAAAATGAATGATACAACCCACTGTCTCCCTTTAACATCCTCCTCTTTGGAGATCTTGCATGCGGTTTCTAAGTCCAATGCACGTTTGCTATTGTATTAACATAGAGACCACAAGAGTTAACCTCTACAACACTATCACTAGATATCTGGCTACAGACTATACGCCTGAAATCTTTACAATACTCCTCTGGCACAGAAAAATGCTTACCTCTACTACAGACGGGAGCAAACAGGATAGTTGCATGTATCCTTCGCTCAAATTCACACAAGTGGTAGAGCCAGAGTAGAAACTAGTTCTCCCTAATCAAAACAAAGTCAGGCTACTTTGGGAAATTCGGATCGTTTTATTTACGTCCTGAGACTACACTGGCTCTAAACAGCCCAGGTCATGTAGTCCACAAATTCAAGTTTTACGCTCTCTTTGACCACTTGTTTTCTGATGGACAGACGCGCGGGCAGAGCCGTGGAGGGTTGTCCCAAACGTGCACTTCTCCCAAAGATGACGAGCGTGGGAACGGGCTGGAGCTACGTGTTAGCAGTGATCTCTCAGCACTCTGGGGTGACCCGAGAACTAATGGCAAGCGACGGGGATGGTACCGAAGCCAATTCTCCCAAACACCAGTAGCCAAAACACTTACCTTAACGGCCACCTCCGGAGCCGAGTCCACCGCCACTGCCAGCGAGGGCTTGGCCGAGGGAGATTTAGTCAGATGCATGAGGGAGTCGGCGGCTGGCAACGGACACCGACCACCCTCACTGTCCGAGTCCGATTCAGACCCCGAGCCCGAACCATAGGAAGCGGCTAAAGCTGCGATGGCAGCCGACATGACGGCGACTGTTTCTCCACTACAGACACCAGGCCCGGGCGGAAGAAGCAGTGACTCCCAGGTCCTAGCAGATTACTAGAGAAGACATCATTTACTTCCTTCGCTAAGAAATCACTTATCAAAGTTTAAAACAATATATAATTTTTTACGAGAACTACACTCAAGCACGGAATTCTCAAACTTTTATCTAGGGAAGCAGAGAGAATCCCCAACTACCATAACTTTCAGGACCTAGTTGGGTTAGATTAAAGGCTGAGTTCTAAAATACCTTGCGGCCTGGAGGCTCCCGTCCTGCAGCGCGGCGGGAAGTGAGAGATGGATGATGGGAAATGTAGTTTGGAAGCGAGGGGCGGGGCTACGAGGGCAGGCTTCCCTTCGACCCCGCCCCCGAATGGATAGTTCATTCAATTGGCTATCATCTTCCCTCAACCCCTAGCCAAGCAGGGTTCTCTCTGTCCCCCTCCCCCCAAATGTGAGGATTGGGTAATACCACAGAGCCCCAGGAAAGGGGGGAAAGCCATCTTTACCTCATCGGATGGATAAGTGGGCGGGGGCTGGGTTGGTCACCAGGGCCGCACCTGGGCTCTGGGGGCTGCGAGGTTAGGTGAGAGTCTTCAGTGAGAACACCTGCGGCTGGGCCCGGAGTCGCTCCTGGGAGAAAGGGTCGGACGTTAGGGGGAGCGAGCCGCGGCTCCCCCCGCTGCGGGCGAGGATCTCCGCGCCCGGTTGTGGAGCGTCGCGCGCGGGGAGGGGGCGGGAGGAGGGCCGCGGCTGCTCGCGGTGTTGTTCGCCCGCACATCCCGCACACCGTGGGTCCGGCGGCCGGCGGGCGCCCCGGGCGACGTACCCAGGGGCTCGGGCGCTTCGGCTGCTTCCTGGAGCCGGTTCCCTCTCGGAACCCGACGCTCCCGGGGGCTCTAGGTGGAGTCCCGGGGCTGAGCGGGACGGGCGGCCGCCGCCGAAGCATGCAGAAGGGGTAAGGCAGAGCCCCTCACGATTCCACGGTGAGCACGAGTCTCTCAGGGATTTTATCTTTCGGGGGAGGGGGCCTAGGAAAGGAACACGTCCTCCTCGCCGGAGACCGAGCGCCAGCCGCGTGGACCTCGGGTCTGCCAAGGTTGCGGGAATGGATGGGCGCGCCACTCCCGCGACGCCCCCCACCCCCATCCCGCGTCTCCCCGGCTCCCGCCGCCCGGGCTGGACGCCTCGGGAGACCCAGGCTGGCGCGCCGGGGTCTGCGTTGCAGGACCGGCCTGAGGCTGCTCGGGGAGGAGAGACTGCGGGTCCCACCTGAGGTGTGTGTGTGGGGGGGGTCTGCGCTCAGCTGCCCGCCCGCCCCCACGACCCGCCCCCCGGGCCTTCGGGTTCTGGGGGAGGCTGCAGCCCGGGGGTGGCCCGGGAAGCCCTGCTGGCGCTACGTGCCTTGCTAAAGCCGTCTCTGCTTGCGGACGCGGCGACGGTCTGTCTGTAAAGGCGTAACGGTAAAGCGGGCGCCCACGTCCCTTTTTTATTTTATCTTATTTATTTATTTGTTTTGTTTTGGAGAGGAGGCAAAGCGGACCCCTCGCCTTGGATGCCTGTTAACGGGGAGGTGCCCGGGGCAGAGTTCGGGAGCCGCGCTCCCAGCTCTGATGTCGGCTGAACTCGCCCATTGTGCCACCCAGATAATTATTCAACTATGCAGCATCCATTGCACCTTTGCCATTTTTTCTTTTCCCCTTGCTACAGCATGCCCCCTAGCTTCGGTACTTCGACACCTTCTCTTGCACTTGGGGAGGATGAACGAGAATAATGATGAAAAGAAAGCACATCCGACCTGTCCTGTAACCGGTTATTAATTAATGAGTGCCCAGTTAGGCTAGGTACTTGAGTACGACGCATTCTAACCCTAGCCTTTTTCTAACATACGCCGTGTCTTAGATGCTGTTTTAATTTCTTTTTGGTGTTGCATTCACGTATTCGCCAAGTCTTATGTCTGTTTGGAATTTATTGTCGTCGATCTCTCAATCCGTCTAATGTTCTTGCATGCAATTTATATGGTAAACTTTCATCTTTCTAAAATTTGATAGCACTATACCATAATTACAAATGCAATCTCAGTTTGAACTCTGAGAGCTAGGTTAAATATTTATGCCTTAAGTTTCTATTTGGAAAGAAATATGATTATGTATCTTGAATATTTGAATAAACTTTATATTAAATTTCTCAAGCTTTGAATAAGAAAACGTTTGTTGTTATTTTCTCGGTAGCAGAATATTTGATTGCTAATCACAATCTTCAGTTGAATGAAAGGCAGGATTTGCTATTTAAGATGGGGTTCTTAACTGCCTTATTGCTTCTTAGTTTATCGGAATTTAATTTGTTATTCAGTTCCTTGTTAGAGGTTTTTATATCCTTTTTCTAACTTTTATCTACAAGGCTGTATTCTACCTGAAAAAAGAAATATTTGTCTGAAGACATAATAAGGAATGGTTGGTTTATTGATTATGTTAAAGACTGCAAATCTCATCGAGAAGAAAGAACTAAAAAGTAAAGGTTTACTTTTTGTAATTGTCCCTTTCTGGGTTAAGCTTGTTACATTAACCCTTTTGCTCAAACCAGAAACACCTATAAACGTTGCAGAGGCCGTTTGAATACACAGCAAGTGTTTAATGGAAGTGGCTCACTTGGAAGTTGATGGTGTAGAATCAGTTAACTTGGTTAGGAAATGACCTTGCAATTTACAAAATGGACAGCTTTGTGTCTTGGTTTCCTGATGTGTAAGTAAAGATAATACTCATTTACTCCACAAGGTAGTATTCACAAATTGAATGAAAATGTTTTCCTATTGCTTTTAAAGAAAATTTAAATATTTTGGCTCACGGGTAAAGAAAGAATTCCTATGTAAAAATACAGTAAAAAGATTTCTTTAGGATTTTCTTTGGCACTTTAGGATGTTTGATAGTTTTTGCTTTGGAGAGATAATGGCTCTAAATTGTATGATTTCTCATTTATAAAGGAGTTTTAATTGCAGATTTAATGTTATAAAGAGTATATATAGTTAAACCATAGCCATAGTTAATACCAATAATAATTGTTACTTAGTAAAAAATGGAATATTAAGTTTGTGAGAAATAAGTACACAGAAAATGTTAAAAGTTTTTTTTATTAAAAACATTATAGGTGGCACAATCCAAAATACATAGTTGTGATCATTTATAAGGAATAATATGGACATATGTGGTTTAGTATTCAATCTTGTAAGTATCTATACATTTAGAGTTAATAATTTTATATTGTGAAATACTATAATTATAGTTTTTCTTACTTTTAGGAATAATTTAAGATATATTTTCCTAGTGCTTGATTATCATTCTAACAGTAGTTAGTAAATTTGATTCCTTAATGAAAGCCTTGATTCAGTCAACTAGCATTAGCAAAACCCACTATTGTAAGATCATGTTAATAGACCTTGTTTCAGACCAGTACTTTTGGTTATTTTGTGTGAGAATTTTATATAGATAATAAGACTCTTAAAGTGTGTTTAAATTACTGTTTGTTATATGGAGTTTCTTTTTTTAAGATTTGATAACAAATTTATAATGTTTAAACTAATAAGCTAAATTTCAGCTATCATTACTTGAGCAAATGCAGTTAATTCATGTTTTCTTTAGCTCTTAATAGTTCCTATCTTGAACTTACTGTTATAAATCCAAAGATTCTAGCATAGCATTTAATGAAAAGCAAAGGCTCCATCTTTTTGGTTGTTGTTGAACAAATAAAATAAATAATAAATACTATTTGAACTATTGTACTGAATGAAAAATTTGAAAATATATTTATGAAATATTTTAATTAATAGAAAATATTTTATTGCCAGAGAAAAGAGAAAAAATATGTTTGGATGTTCTCTGTAACTTCTTTTTATCTCCATTTATAATCCTTTTACATTAGTGAATTAGCACTTAGACATTGAATAATGTCTATGTTATATTGTATATGTTGGTAACCAAAATGAAATGATATTAACCATTTTTTCCTTAACGTTATAGCTCACTTCATTAACTTTTCTTGCTTTTTCAAAATTAGATAGATGTAGAAGTATTTTTCTTTTTGACTTTAAATTTTCCAGTGACATCTTAATAAAAAGAAGTATATACATTAAATTGTGTGCTGAGTACATAATTTAAAAAATAAACGATCCCTCTAGGAAATGGAAGAATGAGGTTTTTTATCTTTGTTGCTGTTTTTTCTTTTCTTTTTGTCTTGTTTGTTCATTTATCTATCTTTGAATGGGTAAAGTGGGGCACAAAAATGAGGGACAAATGGTGAACGAGTGCAGCAGTGATACTCACTAGACACTGTGTTGAAACTGAACTATACAACTGGTGGGTGGGAACAGAAGGGAAAAAGTGGGAAAGAGTGAGGGAAGGTGTGACAATTTCCAAAAAGAAATGTAGTCTTTACCTGACTTCTGTAACTGTAATCCCTCTGTACATCACCTTTATAACAACAGTAAAACATTTTTAAAAAGATAAATGATCCCCAAGGAAGAACTTTTTTTTTTATAGAAATAAGAATCTTTTTTTGTTCGTCACAGTCATCTTCTGATTCGGAATTTCAAGTCTTTCTGAATTGGTAGCCCTAACTTGGATTTATTGTATTTTAAAACATATAAAACGGTTTGGGTCTCAGGACTTCATTTCTAAAAAATAGCCTAATAGTTAAAACTCAGAGTTCACTAACATCTATATAACTCATGATATGCTTGAATTATAGGACTATTGTTAGTAACACTAGAGAAATATCAAATTACACTAATAACTAATGCAAATACTATATTAAAATACAACACTCTGACAATCCTTTTATCTTAGTAAGCCTGACAATATTTTTAGGAACTTGCCTTCTTTTACCCACTGGCCATGAAGCAGGGGGATATTCCTCAGTTTACTGTGTGGTAAGAAGTTAGCTGAAAGGAGCTCAGATTTTGTACCTCTCAGGGTCTTTACTTTTATCAGTTGCAAAATGAGATGATTGAAGTAGAGACTTCTGAGGCCGCTCTTGATGACCAAAGTCTAATGGACTTGGAAAATATGTGCCACTCTGTTTTTCTTATGAGCCAATCTCCCACCCTTTCCCCGCCCCACCTCCCATTACTGCTTATATGCCTCTTGTCAAAAATTTCTCCTTCCTGGAATCTACCTCTGAAGAGAGGGAAAACATTCCTGTTTTGGGAAGGAAGAATGTTTTGTTCTTTGTTATATTTTTTATATTGTTCTAGAAGTGATATACAAGGGATTACCTTTACATATATTGGTGTTATTATATTTTTTATTTGGTTCTTTAATTCTTATATAAACTCCCAGCACAATCAAGAAATGGAATTAAGATGGCATGGTTTGGGGCTTTGATTTGGATGTAATAGAGCTGGAGGCAGACTGAAAAAGTGAGCTTATGAATTCTTCAGGGATAGGGCCAGTTCTGTTTGTTTGGTGGCTTGACTTTGCTTCATTTTGATTCTAGTGCTTGTTTTTTAGTTTAAGCTAAATGGATTTCAAGTGGGTTCTGTGGTGACAGAATAGCAGGCAAGTCATTATTTTAGGAGAGTGGGAAGATCAGAGTGCCTGAGAAAGAGTCATGAAACACAGCTACATTGGACATGTAGATTGGAGTATTTTGTATGTGTTCAGTTAACTTATTTTGAGATTACTGATTTTCAAGGATAACATATGACTTTATCTCCTAAGAGGAAAGAAAATAATACTGCATGCTTGCTTATATTTGCAACGATGGGGGTACTATTGCAATTATTTGATTTAATTGATACTATCTTTCAAGAGGATTTTAGGGAAGGAGGTTAACTGAGTTGAAGAAGTTATTTTCTCTAGCAAATTGAAGCCCAGGTTCTGAGAACATCTTTCACTCACCTTTCACCATTTAGTTACTGTTGGAGCACTCATTTTCATAACTTGATAATGACAGTGATGCTCTCTGCTACCCTCCCTGTATTTGCAGTTAATTG